CTGCATAAGCCTCTGCGACAGATATACACATGCACAAAAGTTAAGCGCCACCATATTCATAGTCTCTTGATTTCACGTGTTTGGAATCAGAATTACGAAATATGATGATGTATGACTGAACTAGGCTTCCATAGTTTCATGAACCCAAATTTGTCCAGATACCACAAGGAGGGCGTGCTTTACGTGTTGCTGCAGTTCCCCTACCCAATAAATAGTGAAATTCAAGTTTCAGACACGTGGTTGCATATTGCTCCTGTGTGAGATACCCCTTCCAATAGAGGTTGAAAATCAGCCATGGTGAGGAAAAAGTTAACGAACGCTGAAAGATGGCAAGTGATAGGCATGACAAATGCTGGCATGTCATGCAGGGCCATTGCAAGACGAATGGGTCGTCATCATAGTGTTATCACTCGTTTGATTGTCAGACATGGTCAAACCAATGATGTCAATGACAGGCATAGGTCAGGTAGGCCAAGAAAGACCTCTAACAGAGAGGATAGACGTCTTTTCAGGATAGTCAGACGAAATCGATTTGCCACTTCAACAGATTTAAGACTGCAGTGGATTACCAATCAGAGACTCTCGACGATGACCATAAGGCGTCGCCTCAGAGCGGCTGGTTATAACGCCAGAAGACCAGTAAAACGTCCTCAACTGACTGAGAGGCACATGCGGAATCGTCTGATATGGTGTCGTGCCCGTAGTCGATGGAACTTGGCCAACTGGAGAAGGATCCATTGGTCTGACGAGTGTCGAATGCTGCTACGAACTGTTGATGGTCGAATACGTGTTTGGGGGGAATGTAACACTCGTTTTGCACAAAGGAACATCCAGAAGACCTTAGCATGTGTCGGGGGATCTGTCATGATATGGGGTTGTATTTCCTTCGGCTGCAAACTTCCCCTGGTGACAATTCGTGGAAACCTGAATGGCCAACAATACCAAGATGCCGTTCTTCGTCCAGTGGTAGTCCCTCATTTTGACAACCATCCTCTTCAGACAAGACCTGTTTACATGGACGACAATGCTAGACCACTAAGAAATCATGCAGTTTTGGCTTATTTGCGTCAAGAAGCTATTGCCACTCTTCCTTGGCCGGCCTGTAGTCAGGATCTTAATCCGATTGATCATCTCTGGGACATTCTTGGCCGGAAAATCAGTCATCGTGATCCCCCAGTTCAAAATCTCGTTTGCCTCAGAGAAGCATTCAACGACTTGTAATGAGTATAAGGCGTGGGGTTGAAGCTGTGGTCAATGTCGTGGATCATACACACGTTACTGACGTTTCTGTCTTGCAATAGACTCCCTAGGGTGTCTATGTGACACCTGATATGGTCTGCTGATATCATGAAAGTTACATGACAAAAAAAGCTTTTCAATGTTTTCTAAACCTTCAATTTCTGGCATTGGGTAAAATTCCTTTCTACTCATATTCTTTTGGAACACGAGATAAACTTGCTTTGGGACAACTTTTGTATCACAGGAGGTTTACACATACGGCTTATAACAATCGTACATCTCGTTATAATAGTCATCATTAAGTGCCAAAAGTAACAGCTCACAAATATGGTGGGTAGCGCTTAACGTTTGTGCATGTGTATAGATACAATGCCATGTATATTGTAAAAAAACGTGATTAAATCAACTAAGACAACATCGTTTCAGATAGAAAACTTTCATTACACCACAGCTTGACATCTGATGGTAACAGAACATTTTTTTACCAATAGACATTAGAATGTTAAAAAGTCATAAGCTAAAATTCAACATCAAACAGTGTTTCAATCATGGCTCTCATAGTTCAATCATGGCACCCATCCTGCTGGGCTATTGAAATAAGCTCTTAAATAGTCCCTTTGCCTCTTGCCCAAAACAGTGTCCCTGTTTCCTCCCTGTGGGAAGTGGCAGTCTGGCAGGTTGGCATCTTGTCTCCAGGCACCAGGGATGAGGATGTGTGCAGCATCTTCAGCATCCACTTGAATGTTTTGAATGGCTGGGTTTCGGGTACGGATGAGGTTGAGAAGGCACACATAAGCTTCAAAAATGGTCTGTACAGTCACTGGCAACAGCTGCATTGTTGACAAGAGGACTCTCCATCTCTGGGTCAGAATGCCAAATACATTTTTAACCACACGTCTGGCTCTAGAAATGCAATCATTTGTTCTGTAGTCAGGTGACGGCCTGAATATGGCCAAGGTGAAGGTTGAGGGAGTCCAACAGAGTCCATCTCCCCGAGGCAAGAGAGTTAACTGACTTTAAAAGTCCAGTTTCCACCCTTGCCGAAGTAGGCTGGAATTCCTTGGCTCGTAGCGCCACCAGTGGCTGTTATGAGTTATGTCTCTCTATGACTCTCCTATGGACCAATCAGATTCCACCTCTCGTATCACTTGCATTTGCTTCAAACAAATGGCGGCGCCCAGACAAAACGATCTGATCGACAATCAAGATCTATATTGCGATAAAACGACCTTACATCACGAAGTGCTTCAAATCATGTGAGCACGTTGATTACAAAACTTACGAACCGGATTTCGATTTCGGTGCGCGATTTTTATTGGACTATGCATAGGCTCGTTAGTCCAGCCAAAATGTAACTCCATAATACCTGTCTAGTTCGGCAAGGATGGAAACTGGACTTTTATAATATGTTAACTCTCTTGCCTCGGGAACATGAAAGGAGTCATTTTCTAAACAGACTGGCTTCCAAAAAGACCAACAACTATCCACATAAATTTGTAATCAGCATCTACCAGGGCCATTATTACGACTGAAAAGAAGCCTTTGTAGTTGTGGTACATAGTTCCAGCCTGGGAGGCTTTCTGATGGCAACATGTTTCCCACCGAGGGCACCACAGGCATGTGGGAGTTTCCAGCGCATGCGGAAATTCTCAGCAACTTCTTCCCAAGTGCCTCTGTCAACAGGGCATGTGATGACTTCTTTCTTAAGTACCATCACCAAGGCTTCACAGACATGTTTCACCAACAAGCATATTGCGTTTTGGGGCTTCCTTCAATTCATATTGCAAGGTGGCATAGGAATCTCCAATTGCCAGATGATGCAGTGTGATGGCAAGCTTCATACCGGGTTCCAGAGCCTTTCTGTAGTTGGTGTCTTGTTTATTTTAATGAAGGGGGTGATTCGTTCAAGAAGTTCGTCAAACATGGGTGGGGTAATTCTCAAGAAGTTATAGAAGGACTCTTGATCATCCAGACGGAGCTCCTCCATCAGCTGATGATAATGTCCCACAACTATTCTCCTCTCATGTTTCAGCCACTTCCTCACCCAACAGTTTCTTACTTGTCTCCTCCTTTCTTCCTTGTCTCCTCCTTTCTTCCTCTACCATCTCCTTGTACTCTTCCTCTACTTCCAGCATAAATGGATAAAACCAACATTCAATGTTTAATGTATGCAAAGTTATCCATGGTTCTGGGCACAAATCTTGAACATCTTCACGTCAGGAAACGATGCGCACTGCCCGAAATCTCAAGCCCATCTGATGAACCTGAAACCCTAGCTGTATGTGTACCCTAGCTTATCCTATCGTACTTGAGACGATGGTTGTAGAAAGAACTGCGTGAAAACTGCATAAACATACTCAAAACTAGGAGAATTTTATGAGAACCTACTAAGAACCTTTAGAACCATGTAGAAACGTGTTGCAAACTGCTTCAGAATTTTATATTTGGTTTGAAAAGTATTTGCACGGAATAAGGATTGACTAAGGACGTAATGCAGTCAACTGGGCCTGTCACCGAACGGGATGAACGATTAACAAACGGATCCGGTCGGTGTGCAGACGTACTGAAATTTATGTCCTACTGCACCACGTCGCAACACGTCCCTAGTAGGTTCGAAGTACGCCAATTCCGTTGGTAATACGTCTTTCTCGTTTTAAGTACCTTTTCAATCCGACTTATTGCAAGACGGAATGGACGGGATAAAATCTTGGGCAGACTCAAAGTTCAAGAGCACCCTCCCCGTCCGTGCCCGTCCATAAAGTTCGTTAAAAGACTATCAATAGTTTCTACTACGTCCACTACGTTCATACACAGTTGGAGCCCGTTCGACAACATTTTCACGAACGTTTTGAGAACTACTTTGGTGTGATTGGAGTATAACATTGGTTTTAAAGGTGACAAGGATCATTTAGAATTCTAAAATCTGAGCCAACAACTTGTCCTCTGTACAGTTCGTCTAGGGTTTCAACGCGACTTCCATGTAGGTCACATACTAACACTGGACAACGCAACAACACGTATACAACTTTTGTGCAATAGTGACCTTACTGTAGAATCAGGACTGAAAGGCCGTGGTTTTCTGGCAAAGTGGAGACGGGACCGTCGCTTGCTTGAGTATTCTTGGCGAAATTTGGGTTGTTCTCGATTCACAGACACTTGTATTACGTGTTGTTTGTTTGTTTGTTGTGTAACGCCACACTCAGCAATATTCCAGCTATATTACGACGGTCTGTAAATAATCGAGTCTCGACCAGACAATCCAGAGATTGACATCGTGAGCATCGATACTTGTATAACGTTAGTACATTTACTGTTTCAACTTTTATAACAAAAGGAAAACGCTTTGACGACATATTTCATGTAATACAACGCCGTCAGCATAAGTGAATAATCCTTGTCAACAAAAGGCAATCAGTTCGGCCAATGTTGATGTTGACCAGAGAAGTGTAGACAGCGCTGAGCAAAGTAAAACACTCTTTTGTGGAACAGAACCATTCTGTAAGCAGCCTATATTTCTAGGTATACATGCTTGGGATGGAACGCGTTTGCAAAATACTAATACACTCATTGTTCATTTGATGTCCAATAAAAAGGGAAACATGCGCACAATGTCTAGAAACAGTGAATATTCTTTTCCCCAAAATATTAAGACGGTCGTTCCCCACAGTTTCACTGATGGCCGGAACATGAGTAGAAGTTCCTATTCTGTGTTTTGTGCCTTACAGTTGGACATATTTACATTTAATCCTATCTATACCCACCTAAGGCAGGGGGCGGAGGTGGTATAAATCCCTGCTGAACATGTCCTGCAAGAGTAAGATGATTTCCATTAGGCAAATGTCATGAATAAACATGTGGTCATTTCGGTGTCAATATAAGGTGAGGTGAAATTGGATTTAAAGTCGCATTCCAGATTTGTGCACCTATATAGCGACGTGCATGTGTGTGTGTGTGTGTGTGTGTGTGTGTGTGTGTGTGTGTGTGTGTGTGTGTGTGTGTGCTTGTACTACTCCGGACTGATGTTGATTTATAGTGCTAACCCACTGAGATACCATGCCGCAGTTTAACATGATTAATCCACTCAGACACAGTATACTGACTCCGAGCCGACCAGCCCCTCAATGCCGAGCACCAGACAGGGCAACAACAAGTATCATCTTTTAACGTCTTTTGGTATGCAGCGGCCGGGGATCCAACCCTGGACCTTCCCCTTTCTGAGCGGACGAGCTACCACTAGATCGTGGAGGCGGTCAATAACACGTGTGTTCAATAGAAAAAGAGCGATTAAGCCTTAAAATATTTAGTTTGAAATCACATCAAGATACTGATCGTAAACAAAACAAGAAAAGTATATGGAGGAATGTGTGGGTTGCATATGGCCCATCTTCCAGAGGCAAGACAGTTAACTGACTATAAAAGTCCAGTTTCAACCCTTGCCGTCAGAATGTTATATTTGGTTTGAAAGATATTTGCACGGAATAAGGATTGACTAAGAACGTAATTCGGTCAAATTGGGTCCGTCACCGAATGGGATGAACGAGTAACAAACGGCCCCGGTCGGTGTGCAGACGTACTGAAATTTATGTCCTACTGCACCACGTCGTCACACGTCCCTAGTAGATTCGAAGTACGGCAAATCCGTTGGTAATACGTCTTTCTCGTTTGAAGTACGTTGTCAATCCGACTAATTGCAGGAAGGGATGGACGGGATAAAATCTTAAGCACCCTCCCCGTCCGAGCCTGTCCATAAAGTTCGTAAAAAGACTATCAATAGTTTCTACTACGTCCACTTTGTTCATACACAGGTGTTGCCCGTTCGACAACATGTTCACGAACGTATTGAGAACTACTTTGGTGTGATGGGGGTATAACATTGGTTTTAAAGGTGACAAGGATCATTAAGAATTCTAAAATCTGAGCCAACAACTTGTCCTCTGTACAGTTCGTCTAGGGTTTTAATGCGACATCCATGTCGCTCACATACTAACACTGGACAACGCAACAACACGTATACAACTTTTGTGCAATAGTGACCTTACTGTAGAATCAGTATTGAGAGGCCGTGGTTTTCTGGCAAAGTGGAGACGGGACCGTCGCTTGCTTGAGTATTCTTGGCGAAATTTGGGTTGTTCTCCATTCACCGACACTTGTATTACGTGTTGTTTGTTTGTTTGTTTTGTAACGCCACACCCAGCAATATTCCAGCTATATTACGACGGTCTGTAAATAATCGAGTCTCGACCAGACAATCCAGTGATTGACATCGTGAGCATCGATACTTGTATAACGTTAGTACATTTACTGTTTCAACTTGTATAACAAAAGGAAAACGCTTTGACGACATATTTCATGTAATACAACGCCGCCAGCATACGTGAATCAGCCTTGTCAACAAAAGGCCATCAGTTCGGCCAATGTTGATGTTGACCAGAGAAGTGTAGACAGCGCTGCGCAAAGTAAAACACTCTTTTGTGGAACAGAACCATTCTGTAAGCAGCCTATATTTCTCGGTATACATGCTTGGGATGGAACGCGTTTGCAAAATACTAATACACTCATTGTTCATTTGATGTCCAATAAAAAGGGAAACATGCGCACAATGTCTAGAAACAGTGAAAATTCTTTTAAAAAAATATTAAGACGGTCGTTCCCCACAGTTTCGCTGATGGCCGGAACACAAGTAGAAGTTCCTATTCTGTGTTTTGTGCCTTACAGTTGGACGTATTTACATTTAATTCTATCTATACCCACCTAAGGCAGGGGGCGGAGGTGGTATAAATCCCTGCTGAACATGTCCTGCAAGAGTAAGATGATTTCCATTAGGCAAATGTCATGAATAAACATGTGGTCATTTCGGTGTCAATTTAAGGTGAGGTGAAATTGGATTTAAAGTCGCATTCCAGATTTGTGCACTTATATAGCGACGTGTGTGTGTGTGTGTGTATGTGTGTGTGTGTGTGTGTGTGTGTGTGTGTGTGTGTGTGTGTGTGTGTGTGTGTGTGTGTGTGTGTGTGTCTGCTTGTACTACTCCGAACTGATGCTGATTTATAGTGCTAGCCCACTGAGATACCATGCCGCAGTTTAACATGATTACCCCACTCAGACACAGTACGCCAACACCTGGCCGACCAGCCCCTTAATGCCAAGCACCAGACAGGGCAACAACAAGTATCATCTTGATGTCTTTTGGTATGACGCGGCTGGGGATCCAACCCCGGACCTTCCCCTTTCTGAGCGGACGAGCTACCACTAAATCGTGGAGGCGGTCAATAAAACGTGTGTTCAATAGAACAAGAGTGATTAAGCCTTAAAATATTTAGTTTGAAATCACATCAAGATACTGATCGTAAACACAAGAAAAATATATGAAGGAATATGTGGGTTGCATATGACCCTTCTTCCCGAGGCATGAGAGTTAACTGACTATAAAAGTTTCCATCCTCGCCGTCAGAATTTTATATTTGGTTTGAAAAGTATTTGCACGGAATAAGGATTGACTAAGAACGTAATTCGGTCAAATTGGGTCTGTCACCGAATGGGATGAACGAGTAACAAACGGCCCCGGTTGGTGTGCAGACGTACTGAAATTTATGTCCTACTGCACCACGTCGTCACACGTCCCTAGTAGATTCGAAGTACGGCAATTCCGTTGGTAATACGTCTTTCTCGTTTGAAGTACGTTGTCAATCCGACTAATTGCAGGACGGGATGGACGGGATAAAATCTTTAGCCCCCTCCCCGTCCGAGCCCGTCCATAAAGTTCGTAAAAAGACTATCAATAGTTTCGACTGCGTCCACTACGTTCATACACAGGTGTTGCCCGTTCGACAACATTTTCACGAACGTATTGAGAACTACTTTGGTGTGATGGGGATATAACATTGGTTTTAAAGGTGACAAGGATCATTTAGAATTCTAAAATCTGAGCCAACGACTTGTCCTCTGTACAGTTCGTCTAGGGTTTCAACGCGACATCCATGTCGCTCACATACTTACACTGGACAACGCAACAACACGTTTACAACTGTTGTGCAATAGTGACCTTACTGTAGAATCAGTACTGAAAGGCCGTGGTTTTCTGGCAAAGTGGAGACGGGACAGACGCTTGCTTGAGTATTCTTGGCGAAATTTGGGTTGTTCTCGATTCACAGACACTTGTATTACATGTTGTTTGTTTGTTTGTTTGTTTGTTGTGTAACGGCACACTCAGCAATATTCCAGCTATATGACGACGGTTTGTAAATAATCGAGTCTGGACCAGACAATCTAGAGATTGACATCGTGAGCATCGATACTTGTATAACGTTAGTACATTTACTGTTTCAACTTGTATAACAAAAGGAAAACGGTTTGACGACATATTTCATGTAATACAACGCCGTCAGCATACATGAATCATCCTTGTCAACAAAAGGCCATCAGTTCGGCCAATGTTGATGTTGACCAGAGAAGTGTAGACAGCGCTGAGCAAAGTAAAATATTCTTTTGTGGAGCTGAATCATTCTGTAAGCAGCCTATATTTTTCTCGGAAAACATGCTTGGAATGGAACGCGTTTGCAAAATACTAATACACTCATTGTTCATTTGATGTCCAATAAAAGGGAAACTTGCGCACAATGTCTAGAAACAGTGAATATTCTTTTTCCCAAAATATTAAGACGGTCGTTCCCCACAGTTTCATTGATGGCCGGAACACGAGTAGAAGTTCCTATTCTGTGTTTTGTGCCTTACAGTTGGACATATTTACATTTAATCCTATCTATACCCACCTAAGGCAGGGGGCGGAGGTGGTATAAATCCCTGCTGAGCATGTCCTGCAAGAGTAAGATGATTTCCATTAGGCAAATGTCATGAATAAACATGTGGTCATTTCGGTGTCAATATAAGGTGATGTGATATTGGATTTAAAGTCGCATTCCAGATTTGTGCAATTATATAGCAACGTGCATGGGTGTGTGTGTGTGTGTGTGTGTGTGTGTGTATGTGTGTGTGTGTGTGTGTGTGTGTGTGTGTGTGTCTGCTTGTTCTAGTCCGGACTGATGCTGATTTATAGTGCTAGCCCACTGAGATACCATGCCGCAGTTTAACATGATTACCCCACTCAGACACAGTATACTGACTCCGAGCCGACCACCCCCTCAATGCCGAGCACCAGACAGGGCAACAACAAGTATCATCTTTTAACGTCTTTTGGTATGACGCGGCCGGGGATCCAACCCCGGACCTTCACCTTTCTGAGCGGACGAGCTACCACTAGATCGTGGAGGCGCTCAATAAAACGTGTGTTCAATAGAACAAGAGCGATTAAGCCTTAACATATTTAGTTTGAAATCACATCAAGATACTGATCGTTAACAAAACAAGAAAAAATATATGGAGGAATGTGTGGGTTGCATATGGCCCATCTTCCCGAGGCAAGACAGTTAACTGACTATAAAAGTCCAGTTTCAACCCTTGCGGTCAGAATTTTATATTTGGTTTGAACAATATTTGCCCGGAATAAGGATTGACTAAGAACGTAATTCGGTCAAATTGGGTCTGTCTCCGAACGGTATGAACGAATAACAAACGGACCCGGTCGGTGTGCACACATACTGAAATTTATGTCGTACTGGACCACGTCGTAACACGTCCCTAGTAGGTTCGAAGTACGTCAATTCCGTTGGTAATACGTCTTTCTCGTTTGAAGTACGTTGTCAATCCGACTAATTGCAGGACGGGATGGACGGGATAAAATCTTTAGCCCCCTCCCCGTCCGAGCCCGTCCATAAAGTTCGTAAAAAGACTATCAATAGTTTCGACTGCGTCCACTACGTTCATACACAGGTGTTGCCCGTTCGACAACATTTTCACGAACGTATTGAGAACTACTTTGGTGTGATGGGGATATAACATTGGTTTTAAAGGTGACAAGGATCATTTAGAATTCTAAAATCTGAGCCAACGACTTGTCCTCTGTACAGTTCGTCTAGGGTTTCAACGCGACATCCATGTCGCTCACATACTAACACTGGACAACGCAACAACACGTATACAACTTTTGTGCAATAGTGACCTTACTGTAGAATCAGTATTGAGAGGCCGTGGTTTTCTGGCAAAGTGGAGACGGGACCGTCGCTTGCTTGAGTATTCTTGGCGAAATTTGGGTTGTTCTCCATTCACCGACACTTGTATTACGTGTTGTTTGTTTGTTTGTTTTGTAACGCCACACCCAGCAATATTCCAGCTATATTACGACGGTCTGTAAATAATCGAGTCTCGACCAGACAATCCAGTGATTGACATCGTGAGCATCGATACTTGTATAACGTTAGTACATTTACTGTTTCAACTTGTATAACAAAAGGAAAACGCTTTGACGACATATTTCATGTAATACAACGCCGCCAGCATACGTGAATCAGCCTTGTCAACAAAAGGCCATCAGTTCGGCCAATGTTGATGTTGACCAGAGAAGTGTAGACAGCGCTGCGCAAAGTAAAACACTCTTTTGTGGAACAGAACCATTCTGTAAGCAGCCTATATTTCTCGGTATACATGCTTGGGATGGAACGCGTTTGCAAAATACTAATACACTCATTGTTCATTTGATGTCCAATAAAAAGGGAAACATGCGCACAATGTCTAGAAACAGTGAAAATTCTTTTAAAAAAATATTAAGACGGTCGTTCCCCACAGTTTCATTGATGGCCGGAACACAAGTAGAAGTTCCTATTCTGTGTTTTGTGCCTTACAGTTGGACGTATTTACATTTAATTCTATCTATACCCACCTAAGGCAGGGGGCGGAGGTGGTATAAATCCCTGCTGAACATGTCCTGCAAGAGTAAGATGATTTCCATTAGGCAAATGTCATGAATAAACATGTGGTCATTTCGGTGTCAATTTAAGGTGAGGTGAAATTGGATTTAAAGTCGCATTCCAGATTTGTGCACTTATATAGCGACGTGTGTGTGTGTGTGTGTATGTGTGTGTGTGTGTGTGTGTGTGTGTGTGTGTGTGTGTGTGTGTGTGTGTGTGTGTGTGTGTGTGTGTGTGTGTGTGTGTGTGTGTGTGTGTGTGTGTGTGTGTGTCTGCTTGTACTACTCCGAACTGATGCTGATTTATAGTGCTAGCCCACTGAGATACCATGCCGCAGTTTAACATGATTACCCCACTCAGACACAGTACGCCAACACCTGGCCGACCAGCCCCTTAATGCCAAGCACCAGACAGGGCAACAACAAGTATCATCTTGATGTCTTTTGGTATGACGCGGCTGGGGATCCAACCCCGGACCTTCCCCTTTCTGAGCGGACGAGCTACCACTAAATCGTGGAGGCGGTCAATAAAACGTGTGTTCAATAGAACAAGAGTGATTAAGCCTTAAAATATTTAGTTTGAAATCACATCAAGATACTGATCGTAAACACAAGAAAAATATATGAAGGAATATGTGGGTTGCATATGACCCTTCTTCCCGAGGCATGAGAGTTAACTGACTATAAAAGTTTCCATCCTCGCCGTCAGAATTTTATATTTGGTTTGAAAAGTATTTGCACGGAATAAGGATTGACTAAGAACGTAATTCGGTCAAATTGGGTCTGTCACCGAATGGGATGAACGAGTAACAAACGGCCCCGGTTGGTGTGCAGACGTACTGAAATTTATGTCCTACTGCACCACGTCGTCACACGTCCCTAGTAGATTCGAAGTACGGCAATTCCGTTGGTAATACGTCTTTCTCGTTTGAAGTACGTTGTCAATCCGACTAATTGCAGGACGGGATGGACGGGATAAAATCTTTAGCCCCCTCCCCGTCCGAGCCCGTCCATAAAGTTCGTAAAAAGACTATCAATAGTTTCGACTGCGTCCACTACGTTCATACACAGGTGTTGCCCGTTCGACAACATTTTCACGAACGTATTGAGAACTACTTTGGTGTGATGGGGATATAACATTGGTTTTAAAGGTGACAAGGATCATTTAGAATTCTAAAATCTGAGCCAACGACTTGTCCTCTGTACAGTTCGTCTAGGGTTTCAACGCGACATCCATGTCGCTCACATACTTACACTGGACAACGCAACAACACGTTTACAACTGTTGTGCAATAGTGACCTTACTGTAGAATCAGTACTGAAAGGCCGTGGTTTTCTGGCAAAGTGGAGACGGGACAGACGCTTGCTTGAGTATTCTTGGCGAAATTTGGGTTGTTCTCGATTCACAGACACTTGTATTACATGTTGTTTGTTTGTTTGTTTGTTTGTTGTGTAACGGCACACTCAGCAATATTCCAGCTATATGACGACGGTTTGTAAATAATCGAGTCTGGACCAGACAATCTAGAGATTGACATCGTGAGCATCGATACTTGTATAACGTTAGTACATTTACTGTTTCAACTTGTATAACAAAAGGAAAACGGTTTGACGACATATTTCATGTAATACAACGCCGTCAGCATACATGAATCATCCTTGTCAACAAAAGGCCATCAGTTCGGCCAATGTTGATGTTGACCAGAGAAGTGTAGACAGCGCTGAGCAAAGTAAAATATTCTTTTGTGGAGCTGAATCATTCTGTAAGCAGCCTATATTTTTCTCGGAAAACATGCTTGGAATGGAACGCGTTTGCAAAATACTAATACACTCATTGTTCATTTGATGTCCAATAAAAGGGAAACTTGCGCACAATGTCTAGAAACAGTGAATATTCTTTTTCCCAAAATATTAAGACGGTCGTTCCCCACAGTTTCATTGATGGCCGGAACACGAGTAGAAGTTCCTATTCTGTGTTTTGTGCCTTACAGTTGGACATATTTACATTTAATCCTATCTATACCCACCTAAGGCAGGGGGCGGAGGTGGTATAAATCCCTGCTGAGCATGTCCTGCAAGAGTAAGATGATTTCCATTAGGCAAATGTCATGAATAAACATGTGGTCATTTCGGTGTCAATATAAGGTGATGTGATATTGGATTTAAAGTCGCATTCCAGATTTGTGCAATTATATAGCAACGTGCATGGGTGTGTGTGTGTGTGTGTGTGTGTGTGTGTATGTGTGTGTGTGTGTGTGTGTGTGTGTGTGTGTGTCTGCTTGTTCTAGTCCGGACTGATGCTGATTTATAGTGCTAGCCCACTGAGATACCATGCCGCAGTTTAACATGATTACCCCACTCAGACACAGTATACTGACTCCGAGCCGACCACCCCCTCAATGCCGAGCACCAGACAGGGCAACAACAAGTATCATCTTTTAACGTCTTTTGGTATGACGCGGCCGGGGATCCAACCCCGGACCTTCACCTTTCTGAGCGGACGAGCTACCACTAGATCGTGGAGGCGCTCAATAAAACGTGTGTTCAATAGAACAAGAGCGATTAAGCCTTAACATATTTAGTTTGAAATCACATCAAGATACTGATCGTTAACAAAACAAGAAAAAATATATGGAGGAATGTGTGGGTTGCATATGGCCCATCTTCCCGAGGCAAGACAGTTAACTGACTATAAAAGTCCAGTTTCAACCCTTGCGGTCAGAATTTTATATTTGGTTTGAACAATATTTGCCCGGAATAAGGATTGACTAAGAACGTAATTCGGTCAAATTGGGTCTGTCTCCGAACGGTATGAACGAATAACAAACGGACCCGGTCGGTGTGCACACATACTGAAATTTATGTCGTACTGGACCACGTCGTAACACGTCCCTAGTAGGTTCGAAGTACGTCAATTCCGTTGGTAATACGTCTTTCTCGTTTGAAGTACGTTGTCAATCCGACTAATTGCAGGACGGGATGGACGGGATAAAATCTTTAGCCCCCTCCCCGTCCGAGCCCGTCCATAAAGTTCGTAAAAAGACTATCAATAGTTTCGACTGCGTCCACTACGTTCATACACAGGTGTTGCCCGTTCGACAACATTTTCACGAACGTATTGAGAACTACTTTGGTGTGATGGGGATATAACATTGGTTTTAAAGGTGACAAGGATCATTTAGAATTCTAAAATCTGAGCCAACGACTTGTCCTCTGTACAGTTCGTCTAGGGTTTCAACGCGACATCCATGTCGCTCACATACTTACACTGGACAACGCAACAACACGTTTACAACTGTTGTGCAATAGTGACCTTACTGTAGAATCAGTACTGAAAGGCCGTGGTTTTCTGGCAAAGTGGAGACGGGACAGACGCTTGCTTGAGTATTCTTGGCGAAATTTGGGTTGTTCTCGATTCACAGACACTTGTATTACATGTTGTTTGTTTGTTTGTTTGTTTGTTTGTTGTGTAACGGCACACTCAGCAATATTCCAGCTATATGACGACGGTTTGTAAATAATCGAGTCTGGACCAGACAATCTAGAGATTGACATCGTGAGCATCGATACTTGTATAACGTTAGTACATTTACTGTTTCAACTTGTATAACAAAAGGAAAACGGTTTGACGACATATTTCATGTAATACAACGCCGTCAGCATACATGAATCATCCTTGTCAACAAAAGGCCATCAGTTCGGCCAATGTTGATGTTGACCAGAGAAGTGTAGACAGCGCTGAGCAAAGTAAAATATTCTTTTGTGGAGCTGAATCATTCTGTAAGCAGCCTATATTTTTCTCGGAAAACATGCTTGGAATGGAACGCGTTTGCAAAATACTAATACACTCATTGTTCATTTGATGTCCAATAAAAGGGAAACTTGCGCACAATGTCTAGAAACAGTGAATATTCTTTTTCCCAAAATATTAAGACGGTCGTTCCCCACAGTTTCATTGATGGCCGGAACACGAGTAGAAGTTCCTATTCTGTGTTTTGTGCCTTACAGTTGGACATATTTACATTTAATCCTATCTATACCCACCTAAGGCAGGGGGCGGAGGTGGTATAAATCCCTGCTGAGCATGTCCTGCAAGAGTAAGATGATTTCCATTAGGCAAATGTCATGAATAAACATGTGGTCATTTCGGTGTCAATATAAGGTGATGTGATATTGGATTTAAAGTCGCATTCCAGATTTGTGCAATTATATAGCAACGTGCATGGGGGTGTGTGTGTGTGTGTGTGTGTGTGTATGTGTGTGTGTGTGTGTGTGTGTGTGTGTGTGTGTGTGTGTGTGTGTGTGTGTGTGTGTGTGTGTGTGTGTGTCTGCTTGTTCTAGTCCGGACTGATGCTGATTTATAGTGCTAGCCCACTGAGATACCATGCCGCAGTTTAACATGATTACCCCACTCAGACACAGTATACTGACTCCGAGCCGACCACCCCCTCAATGCCGAGCACCAGACAGGGCAACAACAAGTATCATCTTTTAACGTCTTTTGGTATGACGCGGCCGGGGATCCAACCCCGGACCTTCACCTTTCTGAGCGGACGAGCTACCACTAGATCGTGGAGGCGCTCAATAAAACGTGTGTTCAATAGAACAAGAGCGATTAAGCCTTAACATATTTAGTTTGAAATCACATCAAGATACTGATCGTTAACAAAACAAGAAAAAATATATGGAGGAATGTGTGGGTTGCATATGGCCCATCTTCCCGAGGCAAGACAGTTAACTGACTATAAAAGTCCAGTTTCAACCCTTGCGGTCAGAATTTTATATTTGGTTTGAACAATATTTGCCCGGAATAAGGATTGACTAAGAACGTAATTCGGTCAAATTGGGTCTGTCTCCGAACGGTATGAACGAATAACAAACGGACCCGGTCGGTGTGCACACATACTGAAATTTATGTCGTACTGGACCACGTCGTAACACGTCCCTAGTAGGTTCGAAGTACGTAAATTCCGTTGGTAATACGTCTTTCTCGTTTTAAGTACGTTGTCAATCCGACTAATTGCAGGTCAGGATGGACGGGATAAAATCTTGGGCAGACTCAAAGTTCTAGAGCACCCTCCCCGTCCGAGCCCGTCCATAAAGTTCGTAAAAAGACTATCAATAGTTTCTACTACGTCAACTATGTTCATTCACAGTTGGAGCCCGTTCGACAACATTTACACGAACGTATTGAGAACTACTTTGGTGTGATGGGGGTATAACATTGGTTTTAAAGGTGACAAGGATCATTTAGAATTCTAAAATCTGAGCCAACAACTTGTCCTCTGTACAGTTCGTCTAGGGTTTCAACGCGACATGCATGTAGGTCACATACTAACACTGGACAACGCAACAACACGTATACAACTTTTGTGCAATAGTGACCTTACTGTAGAATCAGTACTGAAAGGCTGTGGTTTTCTGGCAAAGTTGAGACGGGACCGTCGCTTGCTTGAGTTTTATTGGCGAAATTTGGGTTGTTCTCGATTCACAGACACTTGTATTACGTGTTGTTTGTTTGTTTGTTGTGTAACGCCACACTCAGCAATATTCCAGCTATATGACGACGGTCTGTGAATAATCGAGTCTGGACCAGACAATCCAGAGATTGACATCGTTAGCATCGATACTTGTATAACGTTAGTCCATTTACTGTTTCAACTTGTATAACAAAAGGTAAACGGTTTGACGACATATTTCATGTAATACAACGCCGTCAGCATAGGCGAATCATCCTTGTCAACAAAAGGCCATCAGTTCGGCCAATGTTGATGTTGACCAGAGAAGTGTAGACAGCGCTGAGCAAAGTAAAACACTCTTTTGTGGAACAGAACCATTCTGTAAGCAGCCTATATTTCTCGGTATACATGCTTGGAATGGAACGCGTTTGCAAAATACTAATACACTCATTGTTCATTTGATGTCCAATAAAAAGGGAAACATGCGCACAATGTCTAGAAACAGTGAATATCCTTTTTCCAAAAATATTAAGACGGTCGTTCCCCACAGTTTCATTGATGGCCGGAACACGAGTAGAAGTTCCTATTCTGTGTTTTGTGCCTTACAGTTGGACATATTTGCATTTAATCCTATCTATACCCACCTAAGGCAGGGGGCGGAGGTGGTATAAATCCCTGCTGAACATGTCCTGCAAGAGTAAGATCATTTCCATTAGGCAAATGTCATGAATAAACATGTGGTCATTTCGGTGTCAATATAAGGTGATGTGAAATTGGATTTAAAGTCGCATTCCAGATTTGTGCAATTATATAGCAACGTGCATGGGTGTGTGTTTGTGTGTGTGTGTGTTTGCGTGTGTGTGTGTGTTTGCGTGTGTGTGTGTGTGTGTGTGTGTGTGTGTGTGTGTGTGTGTGTGTGTGTGTGTGTGTGTGTGTGTGTGTGTGTGTGTGTGTGTGTGTGTGTGTGTGTGTGTGTCTGTTTGTACTACTTCGGACAGATGCCGATTTATAGTGATAGCCCACTGAGATACCATGCCGCAGTTTAACATGATTACCCCACTCAGACACAGTATACTGACTCCGAGCCGACCAGCCCCTCAATGCCGAGCACCACACAGGACAAAAACAAGTACCATCTTCCCCTTTCTGAGCGGACGCGCTACCACTAGATCATGGAAGCGGTCAATAAAACGTGTGTTCAATAGAACAAGAGCGATTAAGCCTTAAAATATTTAGTTTGAAATCACATCAAGATACTGATCGTAAACACAAGAAAAATATATGAAGGAATATGTGGGTTGCATATGACCCATCTTCCCGAGGCATGAGAGTTAACTGACTATAAAAAGTTTCCATCCTTGCCGTCAGAATTTTATATTTGGTTTGAAAAGTATTTGCACGGAATAAGGATTGACTAAGAACGTAATTCGGTCAAATTGGGTCTGTCGCCGAATGGGATGAACGAGTAACAAACGGCCCCGGTTGGTGTGCAGACGTACTGAAATTTATGTCCTACTGCACCACGTCGTCACACGTCCCTAGTAGGTTCAAGTACGTCAATTCCGTTGGTAATGCGTCTTTCTCGTTTTAAGTACGTTGTCAATCCGACTTATTGCAAGATGGGATGGACGGGATAAAATCTTTAGCAGACTCAAAGTTCTAGAGCACCCTTCCCATCCGAGCCCGTCCATAAAGTTCGTAAAAATACTATCAATAGTTTCTACTACGTCCACTATGTTCATACACAGGTGGGGCCCGTTCGACAACATTTTCACGAACGTATTGAGAACTACTTTGGTGTGATGGGGGTATAACATTGGTTTTAAAGGTGACAAGGATCATTTAGAATTCTAAAATCTGAGCCAACAACTTGTCCTCTGTACAGTTCATCTAGGGTTTCAACGCGACATCCATGTCGCTCACATACTAACACTGGACAACGCAACAACACGTATACAACTTTTGTGCAATAGTGACCTTACTGTAGAATCAGTACTGAAAAGCCGTTGAACTATTCTGTAAGCAGCCTATATTTCTTGTTATACATGCTTGGAATGGAACGCGTTTGCAAAATACTAATAAACTCATTGTTCATTTGATGTCCAATAAAAAGGGAAACGTGTGCACAATGTCTTGAAGCAGTGAATATTCTGTCTCATAAAAGATTCAAATAGTTCATATTCTGCGTTAGATTCCTTACAACTGGACATATTTTCATTTATTACCATTTATACTCACCTACGGACCTACACACAGCAACGGAGGGAGATGCTCCTTCTACCCGAATGCCAGCTGCAAGATGTAAGATAGTTTCCATGAGGCAAATGGATTGAATAAATACAAAACCTTTTCGGTGTCAATATAATGTGTTTTCAGAGAAACAAGGGTCGATTAAGCCGTAAAATATTTAGTTTGAAATCATAGCAAGATACAGATCGACACAGAAAATATATGAAGGAATATATGGGTTGCATTTGACCCTGCTGTGAAAATCATGCTGTTCGTAAATATGTAATATGAGGGTTGTTTGATAAGGTCTGAGCCTTACTTAGAAGTCCCATCTTCCCGAGGCAAGACAGTTAACTGACTATAAAAGTCCAGTTTCAACCCTTGCCGTCAGAACTTTATATTTGGTTTGAAAAATATTTGCACGGAATAAGGATTGACTAAGAACGTAATTCGGTCAAATTGGGTCTGTCGCCGAATGGGATGAACGAGTAACAAACGGCCCCGGTCGGTGTGCAGACGTACTGAAATTTATGTCCTACTGCACCACGTCGTCACACGTCTCTAGTAGGTTCGAAGTACGGCAAATCCGTTGGTAATACGTCTTTCTCGTTTTAAGTACGTTGTCAATCCGACTAATTGCAGGACGGGATGGACGGGATAAAATCTTTAGCACCCTCCCCGTCCGAGCCCGTCCATAAAGTTCGTAAAAAGACTATCAATAGTTTCGACTACGTCCACTACGTTCATACACAGGTGGGGCCCGTTCGACAACATTTTCACGAACGTATTGAGAACTACTTTGGTGTGATGGGGGTATAACATTGGTTTTAAAGGTGACAAGGATCATTTAGAATTCTAAAATCTGAGCCAACAACTTTTCCTCTGTACAGTTCGTCTAGGGTTTCAACGCAACATCCATGTCGCTCACATAGTAACACTGGACAACGCAACAACACGTATACAACTTTTGTGCAATAGTGACCTTACTGTAGAATCAGTATTGAAAGGCTGTGGTTTTCTGGCAAAGTTGAGACGGGACCGTCGCTTGCTTGAGTATTCTTGGCGAAATTTGGGTTGTTCTCGAATCACAGACACTTGTATTACGTTTTGTTTGTTTGTTTGTTGTGTAACGCCACACTCAGCAATATTCCAGCTATATGACGACGGTCTGTAAATAATCGACTCTGGACCAGACAATTCAGAGATTGACATCAAGAAACGATACTTGTATAACGTTAGTACATTTACTGTTTCAACTTGTATAACAAAAGGAAAACGGTTTGACGACATATTTCATGTAATACAACGCCGTCAGCATAGGCGAATCATCCTTGTCAACAAAAGGCCATCAGTTCGGCCAATGTTGATGTTGACCAGAGAAGTGTAGACAGCGCTGAGCAAAGTAAAACACTCTTTTGTGGAACAGAACCATTCTGTAAGCAGCCTATATTTCTCGGTATACATGCTTGGGATGGAACGCGTTTGCAAAATACTAATACACTCATTGTTCATTTGATGTCCAATAAAAAGGCAAACATGCGCACAATGTCTAGATACAGTGAATATTCTTTTTCCAAAAATATGAAGACGGTCATTCCCAACAGTCTAGAAGTTCCTATTCTGTGTTCTGTGCCTTACAATTGGACATTTGTACATTTAATCCTATCTATACCCACCTAAGGCAAGGGGCAGAGATCGCATTAATCCCTGCAGTTCATCTCCTGCAAGAGTAAGATGAATTGCATTAGGCAAATGTCATGAATAAACACAAGGCCATTTCAGTGTCAATATGGGATTTAACGTCGCGTTCACGATTTTTGCACTTATATAGAGACGTGCATGTCTGTGTGTGTGTGTGTGTGTGTGTGTGTGTGTGTGTGTGTGTGTGTGTGTGTGTGTGTGTGTGTGTGTGTGTGTGTGTGTGTGTGTGTGTGTGTTTGTGTGTGTGCTTGTAGTAGTTCGGACAGATGCCGAGTTTAAGTGCTACCTCACTGAGATACCATACCACAGTTTAACATGTATACCCCTCTCAGACACAGTATACTGACTCCGAGCCGACCAGCCCCTTAATGCAGAGCACCAGACAGAGCAACAACAAGTACCATCTTTTAACGTCTTTTGGTATGACGTGACCGGGGATCAAATCCCGGACCTTCTGCTTTCTGAGCGGACGCGCTACCACTGCATCACGGAGGCGGTCAATAAAACGTGTGTTCAATAAAACAAGAGTGATTAAGCCTCAAAATATTTAGTTTGAAATCACATCAAGATACTGATCGTAAACAAAAGAAGAAAAATATATGAAGGAATATATGGGTTGCACATAAACCATCTTCCCGAGGCAAGATAGTTAACTGACTATAAAAAGTCCAGCTTCCATCCTTGCCAAACTAGGCTGGTATTCCTGGGCTCGATCGTAGCACCACTAGTGGTTATTGTGCGTTATGTCCCTTCTAATGACCTCTCCTTTGGACTAATCCGATTCCATCACTTGCAAATGATCTTCTGTAAATAATCGAGTCTGGACCAGACAATCCAGTGTTTGGCATCGTGAGCATCGAGTCTTTTATAACGTTAGTACATTTAAAAAGGGAAACTTGCGCACAATGTCTTGAAACAGTGAATATTCGTTCTCCAAAAAATATTAAGACTGTTGTTCCCCACAGTTTCCCTGATGGCCGGAATACGAGTAGAAGTTCATATCCTGTGTTCTGTGCCTTACAGTTGGATCATTTTTACATTTAATCCTAGCTATACCCACCGAAGGCAACGGGCGGAGATAAAATTGATCCCTCCAAAACATCTCCTGACACATGTAAGCATTAGGCAAATGTCATAAGTAAACCATTAGGTGAGGTGAAATGGGGTTTAACGGCGCGTTCTAGATTATTGCACTTATATAGCGACGTGCATTGTTCATTTGATGTCCAATAAAAAGGGAAACTTGCGCACAGTGTCTTGAAACAGTGAATCTTTCTCCAAAAATATTAAGACGGTCGTTCCTCACAGTTTCGCTGATGGCCGGAAAACGAGTTCCTATTCTGTGTTCTGTGCCTTACAATTGGACATTTTTACATGTAATCCTATCTATACCCACCAAAGGCAAGGGGCGGAGATCCCTCCAGAACATCTCCTGACACATGGCAATTTCGGTGTCACCATTAGGTGAGGTGAAATGGGGTTTAACGTCGCGTTCTAGATTATTGCACTTATATAGCGACGTGCATTCACGTGTGTGTGTGTGTGTGTGTGTGTGTGTGTGTGTGTGTGTGTGTGTGTGTGTGTGTGTGTGTGTGTGTGTGTGTGTGTGTGTGTGTGTTCTTGTACTAGTCCGGACTGATGCCGAGTTTGAGTGCTAGCTCACTGAGATACCATACCACAGTTTAACATGAATACCCCTCTCAGACACAGTACACGGACTCCGAGCCGACCAGCCCCTTAATGCAGAGCACCAGACAGGGCAACACGTACCATCTTTTAACGTCTTTTTGTATGATGTGGCCGGGGATCAAACCCCGGACCTTCCGCTTTCTGAGCGGACGAGCTACCACTACATCACGGAGGCGGTCAACAAAACGTGTGTTCAATAAAACAAGAGTGATTAAGCCTTAACATATTTAGTTTGAAATCACATCAAGATGCTGATCGTTAACAAAACAAGAAAAATATATGAAGGAATATATGGGTTGCACATGATCCATCTTCCCGAGGCAAGAGAGTTAACTGACTATAAAAAGTCCAGTTTCCACCCTTGCCAAACTAGGCTGGTATTCCTGGGCTCGATCGTAGCGCCACCAGTGGTTATTGTGCGTTATGTCCCTTCTAAGCCTCACCTATGGACCAATCCGATTCCATCACTTGCAAATGATCTGTAAATAATCGAGTCTGGACCAGACAATCCAGTGTTTGACATCGTGAGCATCGATACTTGTATAACGTTAGTACATTTAAAAAGGGAAACTTGCGCACATTGTCTTGAAACAGTGAATATTCGTTCTCCACAAAATATTAAGACTGTTGTTCCCCACAGTTTCCCTGATGGCCGGAATACGAGTAGAAGTTCATATCCTGTGTTCTGTGCCTTACAGTTGGATCATTTTTACATTTAATCCTAGCTATACCCACCGAAGGCAACGGGCGGAGATAGAATTGATCCCTCCAAAACATCTCCTGACACATGTAAGCATTAGGCAAATGTCATGAATAAACCATTAGGTGAGGTGAAATGGGGTTTAACGTCGCGTTCTAGATTATTGCACTTATATAGCGACGTGCATTCACGTGTGTATGTGTGTGGCAGCGTGTACTAGTCCGGACTGATGCCGACTTATAGCGCTAGCCCATGGCAACTGAGATACCATACCGCGTTTAACATAAATATTCCACTCAGACACAGTATACTGACTCCGAGCCGACCGACCAGTTCTTGTTTTATTTAGCGCCAGACAGGGTAACAACATGTACCATCTTTGAACGTCTTTTGGTATGGCGCGGCCGGGGATCGAACCCTGGACCTTCCTCTGTCCGGGCGGAAGCTCTGCCCCAAGACCAAGGAGGCGGTCTGGTGTCACTTTAAAGTGTGTTCAATAAAACAAGAGCGATTAAGCCTTAAAATATTTTGCAAATGCTTTGCAAATCCTGCAATCGACCGAAATCTGCACGACAGTATACGAACCGGGTTTCGATTTCGTTGCGCGATTTTGATTGGACTATGCCTAGACTCGTTACTCCAATGTTACTCCATAATACCAGCCTATTCGGCAAGGGTTGAAACTGGACTTTTATAGTCAGTTAACTCTCTTGCCTCGGAAAGATGCACATGACCCGGCTGTGTAAATCATACTGTTCGTTAATGTGTAATACGAGGGCTGTTTGATAAGTTCTGAGCCTCACATAGAAGGAATTACGTCATAGTAAACACTTTTATTTTGGACATTACACGATGTCATATCGATGCCACGATGGCATATCCACAAAAGCAGATATTTCTTATGAATATGAAATTTAGGTTTTTGTTGCTAATACTAGTATTTATTTGATGCACTATTTCATGTCCTCCTGATTTTTGTATCTTACTGATATAGATATAGAAACTGGACAAAGATTTCTAAGAGATGCTAACAGCCTTTGGTACATACCAAAATCAGCATTTGCATATACTTGTGGCCTTGACTTGTCCTTTGTGTTCCCGTGCTTTTCGTCCATAGTCTTCTTTTTACAGTCTTGTTTACAGCACCTAGAACAATACATAACATGTCATAATAAGAAAGTTGTACATATGTTTTATAAGCATCGGAATTGCCGCTCTGATTTGCAGAACAAAATGTTTCGCTGAAAATTTAAGTTAAACTTGTCCTGAAGAGTAGCCACAGTATAGTAGTACAGTAGCCATTAAGTATCATGTTACATTTACTGCAGTGCATTTGTAGTTGACAGCTGTTTATAAACAAAGCCTAAATTCGGTCAGTGTTGTATAATGACACACTGAATGGTATTTCTGAGGCACATAAACATGTGTTGACAGCATTAGGGCGAATTTAACTCTGTTTCATATATCGTACTGAAACACCAGAAGTTGTGATGCGGGAAAATCCCAGTTATGTCTTTGGGAAACACTCCTTTTTTTCAATCTACAACACAACAGTTCTTTGACAGAGTAACGATAAGTGTCATAGATCTAACCAATATGCTACGTGTAGTAGTTCCGAAAATGTAGCTGATGGTAAAATTAAGATGTATTTATCTTTGAAAGTTAGTTGTTAAGATTAATCTTAACTAAAATCGTTTCGAAAAAAAAACAGACGCAGGAGAATAAGGGGGATATTGAAGATCTTCACATCCACAGTTGACTATAGTAGCCATGGAAGGAACTGTGTTGATCACTGGCGAATTGTCTTGATGGAAGATCACACCTTTCCTCCGCTTCCTATTAGTTTTAACTTTATCTCGTATTCGCCCCAATGCTCCGTGTCTTGTTTGGCCTTTTTGAAGATTGCCCACTATGATGACACCGTCGGCGTCAAATAACACGGAGGCCATAACACTTCCAGCTGATGGGACAGACTTCGGCGCCTTGCGTAGTTTCTTCAACTGTTTTGATTGTTGACCCAGGTTTCATCCATAGTCAGAAATCGTAGCAAGAACCTTTCTGGATCAGCTTCAAACAGAGCTAGATTATCATGAGAAATGTTGTGTCTGGTGCGTGTTTGATTACACGTGTTACGTGTCGATTCCAAAATTGTAACAATATATTAACCTAGAAATAGTGAGTGAGTTGGGTTTAACACCGCTTTTAACAGTAATCCAGTTATATCGCAGCGTGTCAACTTGATGTGGGAGGAAAGCCCAAAGTGATGCAGGTCTCAGACGTTTACCACTTCGGACCTTGAAATATTTACGTAAAGAACTTAGCGTAAAACCAACAAACAACCAACAAATGGTATAAAATTAACAATTGTAATGCAAAACTAACAAGGTTTACAAATCAACACAAATTGCTGCACAGCAATAACAATCACAGTAAACAATGGAATGGTAGTACAATATTCAATTGCAATATGTATGACAGCAGTGGTCAGTATCATATACAGAAATACAGCAAAAGTCAGTGATAATAATCCATATGCAACCAGCGGCGACAGTGGTTAAGCTTCCGAGATGAGCTAGGTGGGGAATCAGGAAAGATGAGTGATCCTCACATGAAAGCTGGTTCTAATGTGATGAAATGCGTGAGATAGATCTGAACACGCTATTGTCCCAATATATACACAACCTAACAAGCTTCTGCAAATTTCTACACAGTGCCCTCAAAACCAGCGGCACTGGAACATTCAACATGTTTCTATAACATACGTTCAACGTCCGCGGTGAACTGGACCGGAAATTAACACACAGCATCTAAAATAGTAACGTTCTGACGACTGATCACTGTCCACAATGCAATGAGCGTCTACCGAATCTCAACAGAAACAATGTAAAACAATTACAATCAGTGTGAAACAATAAAGTACATTGCCATATAACAGAGGCCAAACAAGCTGATACCTTCTTCATTGCCAAAGTTTCTGGGAGAATGGAATGGGAACATACTGGCAAATGCTTCGTAGACTGAACTAGCAGCAGGATTTCTGGTATTCGTGATCTGGTCATGGGATCGACTTCAAGGCTCTCCCTGCCACGCTTAAACCTGGTGCCCGCCCATATATAGTGCCATAGGAAGGGGCATCCTTCCCTTGCGTTGTCCTCATAGCTCCACGGGTAGCTTCTGGCTACTGCACGTTCGTGGAGTTCGTTAATTTTCCAAAGGTCAGAGAGGTCGTATACCAAGTTCTTTGATCACATAATTAATGCTGACACCTAACAGTGATGTTATCCGAGGCCTTGTCGATGGAAAGAACGACACATCTGTCATGTGGGACGCCTGGCTGTGATTTAATGAGTTTATTCAAATTACTTTTTCCTCTTTTTAAGTTTGTGTATTCTACCTCCGAAAGACATACTCCAGGTCCATCTGTTGGCTAACGTTTTGCAAACGCTTCGACAGCATCCATTTTGATTGTTAAGCAGGCTGTTCACAATATTTGAGTCATAACTGACTGAAATTGTTATTGAGTGAGTGAGTGAGTGAGTATTGTTTTACGCCGCTTTTAGCAATATTCCAGCAATATCACGGCGTTGGACACCAGAAATGGGCTTCACACATTGTACCCATGTCGGGAACCGAACCCGGGTCTTCAGCGTGACGAGCGAACGCTTTAACCACCAGGCTACCCGACCGCCCCGAGGTTGTTATTGTCAACAATAGTGAGTGAGTGAGTTAGATATAACGCCGCTTTTAATAGTAATTTCCAGTTATATCCCGTGTCAGCTTAATGTGGAAGGGGCGGTCGGGTAGCCTAGTGGTTAAAGCGTTCGCTCGTCACGCCGAAGACCCGGGTTCGATTCCCGACATGGGTGCAATGTGTGAAGCCCATTTCTGGTGTCCCCCGCCGTGATATTGCTGTAATATTGCTAAAAGCGGCGTAAAACCATACTCACTCACTCACTTAATGTGGAAACAAGGCCAGAAGTGATTCAGGTCTCCGACATAACCCACTTTGGTGAAACCCACGTGCACGGATATGGTGCTGACAAACCAAGAAACATAATCGGGACGCGAACCTACAACCATAGTATTTGAATGTGCCCAAGGTACACGCACACAACGAATTGTGGCGCCTGGGCGACTGGGCCACCCGTGCCCCTTTGAGAACAATAGAGACGTAATAATACGATTATTATTATTATTATTATTATTATTATTATATCTGAAACGTTCGCAGTTGGGAGGACAGGGATGAATGAAGTGTCAACGCGCATGTTGACGGGGAATTAGCTCTTGTGGGAATAAAGGACAAAATCAACATCACTGTCCCGGAACGCTTTATGCACAACATGTAAACAATAAACAACAATTGCACAATGAGCGGAATACCAGCTCTGACAACACAAACACAGCGATGAGCGGACCTTCCTCAGGAAGTTTCCTACGAGCGGCACATCCTGCTCGAGATCGTGAACAACTAAGGCAATAAATGTCGTACTATAAATAACAGTAATTAACGGGAAGTGATAAAGTAGCCCAGGTTGGCTGTCAGTCATTATACAATGAAATGTTGGTGAGGATTAACAACGGGGATTAGCGCCTAAAACGTAATGACAATTCAGTTATGGAGACATGGCTACAGGGTAATTTGCCTTTGGAGTCATATGTACTTCAGACAATGGTAGTCGTAAATCAGTCGCTATGACAGAAGTATGGGTAAACATTCATACATAAGGCTACATTTACTATTTCGACTTCACAATTTAGACCTACAGTTAGTCTAATTTTCGCAGAATATTAGGCATTTAAGAGGCCCGAAACCCCAAACACGTTCGTTGTGGTTATATATAGCTCGAGATACATAGATACTATTCTTCTCTCTTTGGTGAGCAATGTGTTATGAACACAAAATTTATTTGTTTTAGATGGGGACTTCACTGAATGCGCAATGTATGGGGCCTCTTAAATGTAACAATAAACAGCGTGTGAATAAATGTGTGGGTGGGTGAGATCGGCTTGTAAATGTACGAGTCTGGACAAGCAAACGACTGACTAAAATATACGCAATGATCTTACCAGATTTGGAAAAATGTCCCCTAAGCCATGTCACAGAAACACACGTTTTTATTGTAGTCTCCGAGGTACTTGAGTTCTGTCCAAAGCCAACAGGATATTGTGTGGACGAATCACCGTCTGAATCTATTGCAATCTAGTATTGTTACTCACCTGTCTCGTAACCGACTGCTCGGATCTCCCTATTGCAGTGTGACCTAATGGTGTGTGACCTAACCGTCAACTGCCGAGGCAACTTGACGTAAATTTAGGAGTGGGTGTTCTTGCAGGGGACCGCCTCCGTGGTCTAGTGGTAGAGCGTCCGATCCGAGAGCGGAAGTTCTGGGGTTCGATCCCCGTCCGCGTCATACCAAAAGACGTTAAAAGATGGTACTTGTTGTTACCCTGTCTGGCGCTCAGCATTAAGGGGCTAAAACAAGGACTCTTCGGCTCGGAGTCAGTATACTGTGTCTGAGTGGGGTATTCATGTTAATCTGCGGCATGTTATCTCAGTGAGCTAGCACTATAAATCGGCATCATTCCGGACTAGTACAAGCAGCCACACACACACACACGTAAATGCACGTCGCTACATAAGTGCAATAATCTTGGACGCGACGTTAAACCCCATTTCACCTCACCTCACCTCTTGCAGGCTGGTTACAATCGTCAAGATCAAAAGATTTAATACTGGTTTTGCTGCCGTTGTTTTGCTGTCGTTGTTTTGCTGCCGTTGTTTTGCTGCCGCTGTTTCGCTGCCGTTGCTTTTCTGCCGCTGTTTTGCTGTCGTTTATTTTCTGCCGCTGTTTGTTGCCGCTGTTTTGCTGCCGTTGTTTTGCTGCTGCTGTTTTGCTGTCGTTGTTTTGCTGCTGTTCTTTTTCTGATGTTAAGATTTATTATATGGAATTGTTCACACCAAACCCCATCTCAAACCGAGCCCCCACTTTGGTTGATATGGGGTATGTTATAACGACTGCCGTATAATAACATTTGTATTACATACCATAACGTGAAATTTTAAATGTGTCCATTCATAAAACATCCATCGATGGGTGCCACCTCTACCAACTCTCGCATCTCGCCAACTGCAATCCGCCAACTGTTTCTGAATAACTCCACGAAGCTCTCGGTTTTACTTACCGTGTTTTGTTTTATTCACAAATCCTTCCGTGTCCATTTCGCTTCTAAATCTGTCCTCAGTTTTGTCCAAGATAGCGCCTAGCTCCATAATCAAGTTTGCAAGTGAATGAAATACAGTTTTACCTTATGTGGACGACATTGTCACTGGAAAGCTGACCCAGCAGACGATACACTAAGGGACGTAACTCCAATTTCTTATTACCAGGGCTAATCTCGATCGCCCATTCAAAATGCATTGACAAACAAAATCTGCCCGACAGGGGGCGTAATACGGGTGTGGTTTTTACATCCCTGTGATATGTAGGATCTATCGCAAATGAATAACACCTCATATCATTGATAGGTAAATTATAAATTATTTTATTGAGCCTCGTACAGACATTCCAGTCCAGGTCAAGACGACCCAGGCAGGATTTGGAGAGTAGAGTTTCAGGGGCGGAGTTCCGAAATCTCTGTGGGAGATGATTCTTGATGATTCAGGATCTTCATTCTGCTCGGAAATAACTGAAAGTAAATACAGACTTTGGAGTCACTGAAGACCACACTGAGAGAGTGAGAAAGATGCGTTCTCGATTGGCTCCCCTGATGATAAAGGCACGCGAGGACAACACTGTATCCCATCTTACCTATGAGGAACTGATGACGGCAATTTTTACACAGATTCTACTACATGGAACCAATTACGTATGAAAGGAATTTACTTTTCGAAAGTCACGATGAGGAACGTTTAGAAAATTGTCCACATTCGGTAATATTCATCTTGTTATTGTTTAATCCTATCAAGTAACTCTCACCTTATTGAATTGCACATATTATTGCTACCCTACTAAATAAATATGCATGCATGCCGGTTTGGTATCTGTTCTTTATGTATATGTATTATGTTGTTGAACTTATGTTGTACCTCTGATGCCGCTGATACCAGCCCGGGTGAAAATAAAAGTTCACTTCAGTTCAGTTAGTTTACGTAGGATAAGGAGTGAGTGAGTTGGGTTTAACGCCGCTTTTAACAGTATTCCAGTTATACCGCGGTGTGTCAGCTTAATGTGGGAGGAAAGCCCGAAGTGATGCAGGTCTAAGACGTTAACCACTTCGGTGAAACCCACGAGCACGGGTATGGTGCTGACAAACCTAGTAACATAATCGGGGCGAACCGGGATTCGAACCCACAATCATAGGTTTCTGGCGTGCCTAAGGGACGCAACTCTGCACAGCGAATCGCGGCGCCTAAGACGACTGGACCACCCGTGCCCCCGTAGTTCTAAATCAGCTGGATACTCTGAACTGGGTGACAGTACATATCATTACCATCAATCCAGATATAGTTGTGGCAGAGGCCCTTATGCCTCAGTGATATGTTTTACAGAGAATTCCGTGCGATTATCGCAAGATGCGTTTTGGTAGTTGTTGCCATGTAAAATAAAATGGGACGTTGTCTTTTGAAAAATGTAGTTATTTTCTAATATTACATCACTTCTGTTTGACGATATCACACATCGAACATCTTTGCGTTTCTTTTGAAGTTGAGTAATTCGCAGGTCCAAAGACGGTAATATTTTTAATTCTATTTGCACAAAGAGTATGAATACAATGTTTTACTTATATGTGAAAAGTATAACCATTTAAGATATACATTTCTCCCCTTGGTGCAGGGTATTTTCAAAGACCGTCAGATAACGGTAAATCGGAGAAAGTCCTGATATGATCCATGCTTTACAATGAAAAATGTGTAACTTTAAAATCTAATCATGTACATCACGTGAAAATGTTAATATGCAAACTGCATTGTACTTTGGGCCTTGGTGCCAAAATCACTAAATAAAATATATGTCTGTCTGTCTGTTTAGGGATTCATAACCATTAAAATGAAACCAAGCTAAAGCATGAAGGCTTTATGTAAGCAGATACAAGTTGAACTCACACAGCGTGAGACACGTCCAACAGGCGAATATACATGTTTAGCAACGTTGATGGTAAGTCAGTACTTACATACAAGTGCCCTAATACAAATACACAGAGGGTATTACATTTAGTAAATGTAACAGTTATACAGATACCACAAAGCCAAACTCTTTTCACCTGACGCCAGCTCAAACCTTCTGATCTTCAGCTATGGACAGCGACTCCAGCCTCTGATCTAACGTCGGGGCCCGACGGTAGGACAAGCTGGTCTTCAACGTCGGAGAACTCCGAGTATATTTAGAAGTAAGCTTTTATAGGTCACGTTCGAACGTCAAAGTGGACAATTCCGATCCGGGAATCTTTCACTCCAAGCGGCCAGCGTGTGTGTTTGTTAACAGACTACGGATAACACGACTGATAATACACTATGATGGAGTGCAGAGTTTGCGCTTTAAGAACATGTGTTCTATACAACAAAGGCCCAAGTGGTTATTTAGTTATCTCCTGAAAGGTGACTAAAAACCCAAAGGAATTAAACATTTAACATACATAAGTAATAACAATACTAGGGGCTCAATCCGAACCTCGTCACAATCACACATTGTGAAATGGCACAAATAGTCTTTTTCAATATTGTTGCAATGCCGACCATCTTTGAAATCGTAGCAGACTCCCACGGGACGACGCTATTGCTGGTGTGATCGATGGAAGTGTCCAGTGGCATGGGACATGTGATGTCAGAAGAGAAGGGAGAATGAATGAATGCTTGAATATTGTTTACATCGTATCAGCAAGTTTCCAGCTATTCACGGCGACGAAGCGAGAACGGTTGGTTGCTTGGTTGGCTGGTTTGTTGTTTAACGGCGCACTCAGCAATATTCCAGCTATAAGCGAGAACGGACGAAAGTCAGTACAGCGCGGCCTAGGATACATTGTAAATTGAACCCTTCAGATCCAATGAGGTGGCGATCTGGGCTTGAAGCAGAAAGTAAGGTTTATCGAATTTCATGCTTTCACATTTTTCGGCGGTTTCGGATTTTGAGCCTTCGGCCTTTCCGGTACCGTGTTACCTGCAATTAAAGCAGATCATACTTACACGTGGTTTATACAAGTGATAGGTGTCTTACCTAGCAACGATAATTTGAACTCAAAACGAAGTTCGTTTAAAGATACTTTTATACGGTATATGGCTGCGAGTTTGAAATATATAGAATAATGAATGGCCCGTGAGAGAAATATTTGTTTGTATGTTTGTTTGTGGTTTAACGCTGCACTCAGCAATATTCATGCTATATGGCGGCGGTCTGTAAATAATCGAGTCTGAACCAGACAATCCAGTATTTGACATCAGGAGCATCGATCCACGAAATTGGGATTGAAGACATGCATCAATCAAGCATACGACAAGCATAATCGTCTGTTGGGGCAAGCATGGGTTGCTGAAGACTTATTCTACCCCGGATCTTCACGGGTCGAAAAATATTTGTACATCATGATCAGTGTCAGACACATATGTAAACACACACTTCAATTTGGTGGCAGTAAGCAAATCAGAATGAAATAAATACTGACAAGGCGACTGTTACAACGGAAAGGCGTACAGTGAGTGATAATTAATACGATAAACCAGGAAGAAAAGTCTAATTCGACTGAACGCGAGTTGCTAACATTGATAACAAAGGTGGCAAGGATCATGCAGAATTCTAAGCAAGCAACTGGTCCTCTGTGCGGTTCGTCTGGCATCACCTGACATACTAGCACTGGACAAAAGACAACACGTATACAATTTTTTAACAATAGTGATGCGACTGTGGAATTAGTATTGACAGGTCGGCGTTTTCTGGCGAAGTGGAGACGGGACTGACGCTTGCTTGAGTGTTGTTGGTGAAGGCAGGGGTGTTATGGGCGAATTTTCCCAGGCATTTGTATAACGTAACTACATTTACTTTTTCGCCTTGTTTGGCAAGAGAAAAACGGTTTGACGACACATTTCATGTAATACAAGTTGTAGGCAGTCAGCATGCGTGGATCATCCTTGTCAACAAAAGACCATCTGTTCGGTTAATGTTGAGGTTGATTGGTTGGTTGGTTGGTTTGTTGTTTAACGCCGCACTCAGCAATATTCCAGCTTTATGACGGCGGTCTGTAAATAATCGAGTCTGGACCAGACAATCCAGTGTTAATGTCATGAGCATCGATCCACTCAATTGGGATCGATGACATGCATCAACCAAGTCAGCGAGCCTGACCACCCGATCCCGTTAGTCGCCTTTTACGACAAGCATAGGTATTCTACCCGGAATCTTTACGGGTCGTTGAGGTTGACCAAAGACGTGTAGACAGTGATTAGCAAAGTAAAAACACTATCGTTGTTTTATTGAATGCGGAGAATTTGCAAGTTAAACTAATTGTTCATTTGATACCAAATAATAGGTTAATTTGTGCACCATGTTTTGAAACAGGGAATTATCTGTCTCCAGGCATATTCAAACGGTCGGTCTCCACGGTTTAGCTTATGGCCGGAGTATGAGTGGAAGTTCATATGCTGCGTTCGGTTCCTTGCGACTGAACACATTTACATTTATTCCAATCTATACCCACCTGTCGGCGGCAAAGGAATGGGCCGAGATTTTATTAGTCCCTCTGGAACTCCAACTGCAAGATGTAAGATGATTTGCATAAAGCAAATGTCATGAATTTACAAATGGTTATTTCGGTTTGTTGAATGAAATAAAAGCGATGAATTGAGCATTACAATATTGTCTTAGAAATCACATTTAGATACTGATCAAGAAGATAATTTATGGATGCCAACTTCTATATTATGAGGAACATAACGTTTCGGAGTATAGTTGTTCATTCATCTGATGGTTCCGAACATAACATAAATGCACTGGTCTTGCAGGTTCGCAAAAACCAATTCTATATTTTGACATGTACCATATGTTTCCGGTGTTTTTCAGTTGAGAAACTGACTAGCCTTTGCATGTGTTTGTGATGGATAACTCCGGTGATGCAGGATACGCACACCTGTTCGCAAACACCTAGTATTATCAATATTTGACAGTTATTCATAAATGCATGGTCATGATATAGTCGGAATCGTAAAATCGACTCTGCTTTTTGCAGAGATTTCTTATGAATATGAAATAATTATAAGGGGTTTATGTATTTGATGTATTGCATTCATGTCTGTTTGCTGTTTGGATCTTTATGATATAGCTAGAAACTGGACGCATGATCAGTCTTCTCGGAGATGCTGTTACCAAAGAGTTTAAACTGATACATACATTGTTTAGTTTTCACGTTGACTCGTCTTGGCTCTTGTTTACCGTGCCTTTCTTCCATAGCCCGTCCTTTTAAGCCCTGTTTATAGCACCTAGAACGAGAAATTACCTGCATACTAAGTAAGCTGGACATATGTTTATGCATATATGTATCGGAATGGCCGCTCGGATTTGTTTAGCAAAACAAGGGAATTTGGCCAGGACGTTTAACTGAAACTTGATCTAAAGATTTGACCTAAATATCCTCAAATGATTTATGTTTCAACATAATCCCCTTATACATTGAGATACTTTAGCCAAAGTTGTTGGTTATTGTTAAGAAATGCTTTCTTGGCTGTCAAACATATTTTCCACAGCTGCTCTGACGTAATCATTCGATTCGAAATGGGTTCCGACTTGAGTTTTTTTCATGTTTGAGAACAGGTGGAAGTCTGACGAAGCCACATCAGAATCTAGCTTTTTCAAATGATCTTAGCCATAAGTTATAAGTAAAGTTACTATAATCTAAGGAAACCTAGACTGCAGTAGAAGAATTTTGAAATTATTGTAGCCCTACGATTTTGTAGGTTATACCTAACGTAAGTGTATTTCATCTTCATCCAAGACGACGGCACGATTTTGACATATATATATATATATTAGGAATATGACGATAGACAGTGGCGAAGTTTCTCATTAGATTTTACATATGGAATCGTCTTAAGAAGGAAATATACATGTTAATGTATTTGAAATATGTCACGTTTAATTATTTCTTGTAAACGTAATGGCATTGTTTGGTTTATGAAAAATTGGATGACCTTAAATATTGAAAGATAAATCGGTAAAGGACAGATCCTATGCAGAAATGAAAATGAGTAGTATTTAATAGTTTATATTTGCAAATATCTTCGAGCATGGCTATTTTCAAAACTGAAATTTAAATAGTGCGATTTTATGCTCGTTGAGGATTGAATCGTCGTTTAAAAACATATTTTCAACATTCTATAATTGTTCTCAAATTCCCCGTTTTTCGCAGTAAAAAATAGAAAAGTTGCAATTTTTTTTTTTAAATGTACAATTACCCGTTTTATATCAACATTACAGATACTTGACACCTTCCAGACCATAAAACAAGTGTAAAGTACAAGCGTCACAAATCACAAATATTTATAAGATCTTCATTAGACCCCCTTTTGAATACGCATGTGAGCTTTGGGATGGGTGTACATAGACCAGAGTGATAGACTAAGGAGATTGCAGTTGGAAGCAGCCAGATTTATCAGAACAAGACAAGATGCAAAAAGTTCAATTATGTACGTAGTTATATAAGTAATGCAAATAGTTGTATGTAAATTATATTATTCTCACTGTTCACTAGTCTTTCCTAGTCTTTTCTTTACTTCTGTTCTGTTCATGTGTGGTACACGCTGTAAATGAATTGTATAAATATCTGCGAGAAGGTGTCTTAATTTGGAGAACTTGTATCCAATCTCATTCACCTTTTTGCAATGTTTTGCAAAGTCGAACGTCATTTAGGAGATAAACCTACTGTGTTTTGAAATTTGATGTAGTCCCACTGTAGAATAGAAACCTCTTTGTTATAATTTGGAACCGAGCGCGGTTGTGTCGACCCTCAGTTATATTTATGGACAAAACGGTGTAGAAGTTCCACATAGTTATTCACGATAGAAAAGGACATTGTGATTATGTATAAACTTTTCTAAATGCCCACAACTTGATATTATTTATGGGGGCACGGGTGGCCAAGTTGTCTATGGCGCCGCGATTAGCTGTGCAGAAACCTATGATTGTGTGTTCGAATCCCGGTTCGCCCCGATTATGTTTCTAGGTTTGTCAGCACCATACCCGTGCTCGTGGGTTTCACCGAAGTGGTAAACGTCTGAGACCTGCATCACTTCGGGCTTTCCTCCCACATTAAGCTGACACGCCGTGATATGACTGGACTAATGTTAAAAGCGGCGTTAAACCCAACTCAATCACTGATATTATTTGTATGTCCAGTGAAATGTATTGGACATTATCTGACATTCGTGGGGACGCCATTTCCTAACCAATTAGGGTTTTGGGTTTCCTGGTGTACTGTTAGTGATTTCACCAGTAACTTTACTTTTGACATAGACATAACAAATGAGCAGTCGTGTCAAACTGAGCCAGAATACATGTACATCAGACTGGAACCCTTATCTTGAATATCTGCTGTTCAATCAGAAGTAACATCGTTGTCATTTAAAATAACGTCCTTTTCTTCAGTCCTCTACATTTGTACTCGACGTGTTCATCTAACAGCGGGTTCGCAAGAGGACCGTTTGTAGACAGTCAGTATCTTTTCACATATTATTTCAATTTTAATACCTACAGTGTGGTACAAATACACTTTCTGATCATCACATTTCGTCCATTTGAACAATGTCGACACACGAATCATGTGAAATTAGTGTCGCCTGCAGTCGTGATACCTAGAAATGCCATATATGTCACATATGTGTCTAGTATTCTAGTAAAGGTTAAGATCCGAGGACGAGTTGATGATGCGTGTAGAAAGACCGCGGAATTGTAGGGTAGGGCGTACAGATAGACCTAGGGCGAAGCCGTGGGGGTGTAAGGTGGAACAGATAGAGTATCAGTGCCCCAACCCAAGCCCACCCCACCTCCCACGGGCACAGGGATAGTCCGGACAAACCAGGTAACATAACCGGGCCGAACCAGGATTCGAACCCACAACCATAGTAGGTTTCAAATGTGCTTAAGGTACACGCACACAGCGAATTGCAGCGCCTTAGGGACTGGACCAACCTTGCCCCCATTGAGAACAATAGAGACGTCATTATACGATTATTATTATTTTTATAGTGATTATGCACACGATTATAGCATTATTTCCCATATGTTATATCTGAAACGTTCGCAGTTGGGTGGGCAGGGGTGAATGAAGTACTGGAATAATATCTTCGAACATAATTATGTAATTACATTTACTATATCGACTTCACAATTTAGAAATACAGTTTGTCTAATTTGTGCAAAATAGAGACATTCAAAGGCCTCATACATTGCGCATTCCTTATCTCATACAAATTTATTTTCTGTTCATAACAGATTGCGCACACAGAGAAGAATGTTATCTTTACATGTCGAGCGCTATAAATAACCTAAATAATGCATGCTACGTCGGGCATAAATTTAAATAGGATGATGGCAAGAAGCCAAACTGTACATGTATCGTGTCATTTGTTGACAGTTTTAGCAAAGGTTTTTGGGGTTTAGAGTAGATACCGAGAATGTAACACTAAAGAGAGACAGGCGAAACAGCGTGTGGGTGACATCGGCTTGTTAACTGACGAGTCTTGACAAGCAAACCACTGACTAAAATATACCCAATGTCCCCTTGTGAGATAAGCCACAAAAAAACACACGTTTCATTGTAGAGGTACGTGTGTTCTGTTCACCACCCGACCCCATCCCACCCCCCTCCCCGGGATATTGTGTGGACGAATCTCCGTCTGAATCTATTGCAATCTGGTGGTATTGTTACTCACCTGTGTCGTAACCGAGTGCTCGGATCTTCCTATTGCAGTGTGACCTAATGGCTTAATCAGTCAGCTGCCGAGGCAACTTGACCTAAATTGAGGAGTGCGTGTTCTTGCAAGGTGATCACAATCGTCATAATCAATAGATTTGATGCTGGTGTTCCTGTGCTGTTATTCTGCCGTTGATTTTCTGAAGTTTAGATGTTATTTTATGACATTGTTCATAGGGGCGATCGGGAAGCCTAGTTAACGACTAGCGTTCGCTCGTCAAGCCGAAGACCCGGGTTCGACTCCCGACATGGGTACAAGGTGTAAAGCCCATTTCTGGTGTCCCCCGCCGTGATATTGCTGGATTTTTTTTAAAAGCGGCGTAAAACCATAATCACTCACTCACTCATGTTTCACACCAAACCCCATCTCAAACAGAGCCCCCACTTATGACTTCGTATTTCATACACTGGGGAACGTGGTTTGATTAACTTTGGGGCTCTTCATGATAGAATTGTTTTCTGCACTTTTGCACACATTTATTTGTCTGATGATCCTCTTGTGAAGCATGTCTAGACTCATGGTTGACATGGGGTCTGTTATTACGACTGCCGTATAATAACATTTGTATTACATACCATAACGTCAAATTTTAAAATGTATCCATTCATAAAACATCCATCGATGGATGCCACCTCTATCAATTCTCGGATCTCGCCAACTGCAATCCGCAAACCGACATTGTCACGGGAAAGCTAACCGATCAGACGAGCAGACGATACACTAAGGGACGTAACTCCAATTTCTTATCACCCAGACTGATCTCGATCGCCCGTTCAAAATGCATTGACATGCCATATCTGCCCGACAGGGGGTGTAATCCGGTTCTGGTTGTTACACCCCTGTGATATGACGGCCTCTATGTTGGCTCTATCGCAAATGAATAACACCTCATATCATTGATAGGTAAATTATAACTTATTTCATTGAGCCTCGTACAGACATTCCAGTCCAGGTCAAGACGACCCAGGCAGGATTTTGAGAGTGCGGGATCGGATTTCCGAAAACTCTGTGGAAGATGGGTTTGATTAACAAAACGAGTCCAGACATACGAAATGTGTTGCCCTGTTTGTTCTGTGCAAGATTGGGTGTGCTTGAAGTTGAAACCTCAAGATGTTTGTCCGCTTATAACAGATTCGTCAGATATCTCGGGAAGAACCATTAGCCACCTTGTAGACGTCATGCAACACATACTGTCTTACATATGCCAAAATATGTACAAATACTTTGAAAACAAATGAACATCTGCTCTTGAACGTGAAGTGACAATGTACTGTTACTTGACAGACGAAACAACGAAAACCCTGATTCTTGTTAATACACTAACTGCGCTACGAGATTAGGTAAACATAACAAACATAGATTTGGAAGTTATTTCCGTTTTCCGCAATTGATGCAATTTTCTCGGCTTAAGAACACCAGGCGGTTTGCCTATCACGCAAATACATGGCAGAAGGAGCCTCTTCGAAAAACAAACAAAATTCTGAGTGGGAAATAAACTGAAAACAATAAGTTTGCTCCCCAGGGATGAACATTGAACGGAAATGGTAGATATTGAATAAATATTTAGACAAACATAATTATGTTTTTTATATTAATATAATAGATGCAAAAAAATTCTTAATTTTCATGACCGTAAATCCACGGTACCACGGGAGACAAAGATGGACAGCCTGGTGGACAGACTAAGTCATCCTATCCCGCTGGTATTGGTTTATTCCTTTTGTTCAGCACTTTGTATTAGTTGTAGCATTCGTAGCAGCAAATGGCTGCAGAACTGCTGATATATGTTGGGGTAATGCAGGTCTTCAGTAAACACATGCTTGTCGTAAAAGGCGACTATGCTTGTCGTAAGAGGCGATTAACGGGATCGGGTGGTCAGGCTCGCTGCCTTGGTCGATACATCGTATCCCAATTGCGTGGTTCGATGCTCATGGTATCAATCACTGGACTGTCTGGTCCAGACACGATTATTTACAATCCGACGTCATATAGCTGGAATATTGCTGAGTACGGCGTTTCACAACAAACAAACAAACAAAACATTCACTACCAAGAAGAACCGATGGGCCGTGTTATACGAACCTTGCCAGGTATATGTGACACCTTACCCTCCCTGTAAACATGAATGGCCGCCCACATATTGACAATAACTACTTGTGGGTAGTACAAAATAATTGGTACAAATTACATGTAAAATTAATGGTAAGAAATTGTATGCGTGAAGGGAAAATAAAGTTAAAATAAATATTGCGAGTTTGTTGCGAATATCAATTTTCCCAGATACATGTAGTCAATTTCCGAGAGAGAAATACATACTAGTCGAAGAAAATAATTAAATATCGAAGTGAAAATGCTGACACCACATGCTCCGTTATCGGTCTATTTTGGGGCGTGGCCTAAAGCTACTTGCGCAGCGGTGACAACTGTTTTCAGTGGCTGATATGTTTATCGCGTGTATCTATCTCATGATTCTAAGCCGTTATACATATACTGTTTTTGCTATTTCTTTTAATCCAAAAAATAACAACATTGCATACATTGTTGAATGTGTGACACGACCGTGATACTGACACTGTGAGTAAATAAAATAACAATAAACAATCGGTAACTAGCGTTTTATTACTAACAGCAAATGCCTGTCAGGGATTAATCCCCTGAACAAACATCTAAAGGCATCTTCACGTTTGTTACCATGGATGAGAAGACAGAAAAAAGACGTAATGTAAAAGTAAATCCGAGTCGGAAGCAGACAGACTGGGTTTTGGCCCGATCGTAATGATCGTTGAAACTGCGCATGCGTCAAACATCGTTTTAACCTCAGTAAGGGTAATCCCCTCAATGGCGGATTTCGTTTCCGGAAGGATTTCGCCTATCGTTTTTATCGTCTGTTTTACGCTATTTCCGTTTAAAAAAATAATTTTGGTGAAGCATTTGTGAATAAGTATGCCCTAAAGTATTAAAATCTGCAAAGTTGCTGTGTTGACTTAACTTGCCGTTAACAAGTGTGTAATTTGAACATTTTGTGATGGTGATGCCACTTTGCCGTATGTTTGTGATTAGCAGTTAGCTTGATGTCATTTACTGGACGACTTTTCAATACTACAGTCTTCACTTCATCGCCCGTGGGTAATCATAATATTTGACTTTCTGAGAATAAAAGCAACCTTTTGGAGTGAGTTCCACGAGAAACCTTATCAAACTTATTCCTTAACATTTGTGCGCTTCTGTCATGCTGGCTACTGTTAACAACAATTATCTTATGTTACGTGGCCCTGCATCGCTGCCACGATCATGCCTGCATACCGTCTGCATGTATCTTCCGCAAATCCTTGAAATTATGCCAGCGAATATTCCGGGTCAGAATATAGGTCGCCAGCAACCTGCTTGTCGTAAAACGAGACCAAATGGATCGGGAGGGCAGGCTCCGTTGTTTGGATGTCATTGTATCCCAATTGCGTGTGGAGATGCTTAGGGTGTCAATCACTTGATTGTCAGGTTTCGTTTATTAATATATCGTCATTCTATAGCTGGAATATTGCTGCGGCGTTAGACAACGAAGACACTCTTCCTATCTACTAATTATTCTATGCCTTGGTTACTGTTACAGTCAGCGACACGTATGTCTGGTGCGTTAGGCATCTAGTCTCTCTGAACTGAAAGGTATTTGACTTAATGGCCAATATGCCCAGACATGTTCACGAACTGACCGGTGAAGTAGAGTAGGTCTTCAGCAACCCATGCTTGCCGTGAAAGGTGACTATACTTGTCGTAAGAGGCGACTAACGGGATCGGGTGGTCAGGCTCGCTTGTCTTGGTTGATGATGCAGGTCATCGTATCCCAATTGCTTGGATCGATGCTCATGATGTCAATCACTGGATTGTCTGGTCTAGACTCGATTACTTACAGACTGCTGTATAGCTGGAATATTGCTGAGTGCGACGTTAAACAACAAACAAATCATGATGTCAATCACTGGACTTTCTGGTCCAAACTCGATTATTTACAGACCGCCGTCATATTACTGGAATATTGCGGCGCTAAGCAACAAACAAACCAAATCTTCACGAACTAGTATTCACAGACGAAGGAATGACTGATGTGTGATGTTGCTATGAACTGGACAACGTGTTTGCATCAGAGATCCGGAGATATGGGGACCTGCCCGACTGGCTACGGCACTGGATCGTATACACACGTGTGTCACGTAAGTAATCAGAAACATTCTGACAATCTGTGTACTGTTATTTGTTTACCATTTTTTCCAATGTAACAAAGAGAATTTGTCAGAAATGCAGATAACTACCGTCGTCGTGCGTGATTTAGCGACAGTCATGGCGTCACACTTGTACGGTTTCTATTGATGAGGTGAAATGTATGTTTAACGTCGCGTCCAAGATTGTTGCACTGATATAGCGACGTGCATGTACGTGTGTGTGTTTGTGTGGCTGCTTGTACTTGTCCGGATCGATGCCGATTTATAGTGCTAGCTCACTGAGATACCATGCTGCAGTTTAACAATTCCATTATTAGTGCAACGATACTCTTCCCATGAATATTCTCAAACGCGTGATCGATCCAATGCATGCAACAATTAGACGAAAGTACGTACCTCTAAACATGCAACACAGTGTAAAATCTGAATATTTTGCTTTGTTTACATTTCAGCAAGTACAGTTTTCCGAGCACAGTGTTCGTTTCCACACCTAATTTGTTCCGCATGATTTCATCTAGATAATTTGCACTGGTGACAAATTTGTCATTTGTTTCTAAAATATATGAGGAATTCAGGGATGCATGTATAGCATCTGAGTGTGCGTCTCATAACCGGCATTTTGTAAACACAATCCAATTCAATATGGCGGAACGTACACTTCGGCGTTCGTGTATGCGTATTTTCCAAAACATTCTAAACGATTCTAGGCTTATCAGCGACGTTTCAGAATTATCATTAGTGATTTGATACCCGTGATCGCTAATATGCACTTTTTCTACTTTAAATATTCGAGTAAATATCCGATATTTAGATTTCTAAGCACACAGAAAATAACGCCGTGAATTGTGATTTGGCGAGATTTACGATGTACCTAATTTTCAGAAGTCACTTTCAGTAATTTTGCTCTGCCTAAAATGACAGTGAATGATAAACAGAAGAGGGAATTCAAAACTGTGAAGTGTATTAGTTTGCGTGATGTATTTTGAATTTTATTCGACTTCGAAGTGAGGGTTGAAGAGGAGGGACATATGTGTCGCTGTGGCATCGGGGTTTACACTCTAAAAACCGATAACGTTGACATAACAACAGATATTGTAACTGATAATAATAACAAACAAACTCGCAGAAGAGGCAAGCTTGTTTATTATCATTATTAATTACGCGGTCCTGTGGTTCAATACAGACGTAGGTGAACATTCGACTGAAGCACGAGCAACTTATGAATGACACTCAGGAAAGTAGTCCGTCATCTTCTGACCTTAGGTCATCACCATGGAGTAGCCAATCACGGGACTGGAATTCGATCTCGCACATATGTTTGATATCAGTTATCTCAAATGGGTTTCTCATCCACAGGTGTGTAAGAAATATTTGTACAAACCTGCATGTTTACGAACAGCCATTCAGACACTGGGTCTTTAACATCGTTAGTTGAACTAAAACACTTGTATCATGTATTAGCGACATGTAGCTCACACTCCCTGCCTGGGCTGTTCATGTTATTAGCTAATCCCCAGGGGTTTAGTTACCCGACACCTCAATAACACATACCAGCCATCAGGTCATTTCGACACGTGGGGTTCATTTAAGTTCCCTATGTATTGACATAGCTCTACTCCCAGCTTCTGTTAGACTAACATCTAGTCTCTGAAATGAACTTATCTTACAGAAATAAGTTGTTATATTATCTTAATAAAAATATAACAAAATATTTACAGAAATAAGTTGTTAAATTATCTTAATCAAAATATAACAAAATATTTACAGAAATAAGTTGTTAAATTATCGATATAAAAATATAACAAAATATTTACAGAAATAAGTTGTTAAATTATCGATATAAAAATATGACAAAATATTTATAGAAATAAGCTGTTAAATTATCTTAATAAAATATAACAAAAGGAGACCAAAGCCTCTCTTCGTCCTAATACTGCAGTAATCTAGACTTGCCAAACATTATAGACTTGCATGGCTGTTTTGGATATATTTGTATCAGGGTCTGTATGGCAGATTAAGCCCCCGTCACATACGTGAACACACCTAGAACACAAGAGAAGGGTCTCACACATGATCATATGGCATCCTTGATCGTTGTATATGGCAACATGTTGACATCTCGTTGTGTTCATGAAATATCACGATATGAGAAACAGTTTGATGCGTGAATGGTGAACGAAGTCTCGAGACGATAGATTCCTATTTGTACATATATTGCTCCATTTTCTCTACCTTGTCATGATATAAAAATGATTATCGCAAGGGTGAGATCAAGTGATATCTACAGTGTAGACCATTGTGACGTCATTGGTTACCATGACATCTAGATCAAATGACATCCCTAATGGCTCTGTAACTGAAGCTGTTATCAGTACTTTTTATACACTGTTTTTCACTGTCTACAAACTGAAAAAAGTGGAAGAATAATGTTGGATGATAAATATATATATTTTGATATCGGCAAGCCTCGGAGATTTTTCCATTTTTATCAACTTGTGTTGATATATTTGATATTAAAAGACACTCGGTTGAGATTCTCTATTTATCGCAATGTCACGTGTTTGGACGCATGTGATTATCCCAATAAAAAGTTGAGTAGTGTAGTTCCCGAATTGTATCATACGTAATAAACGATAAATTGAATCTGACAAGAATTTCAGAATGATATTTATTGAAACATTCAGAACTTCTGCTAAAATTATATATGATACTCGTGAACAGTTTGTTTTACGAAAGGTTTGATGCTGTCAACGCAATGACGTTGTTTTTTACCATGGACAGCGTCTCACATCAGCATCGTGGAGGCATCTCAAAGAGGTTCAGTTCGGGGTGTTTGACCTCGCGCCTCGGATTGGCTGTCTGTGACTGTAAATATAGGAAACACATTAGGGAACCGTGATGCATGTGAAGCATCGAACATGTTCATATGACTAAACTGTTGAACTGTTGGTCATATATTTCAGAAATGCTGTTATGAGGAATCCCATATCCATTTTTTATTCATATCCTTTTTCCACTAGATTTCTCAATGAAATGTGAGTGAGTGAGTGAGTGAGTGAGTATGGTTTTACGGCGCTTTTAGCAACATTCCAGCAATATCACGGCGGGGGACACCACAAATTGGCTTCACACATTGTACCCATGTCGGGAATCGAACCCGGGTCTTCGGCGTGACGAGCGAACGCTTTAACCACTAGGCTACCCGACCGCCCCCCATGAAATGTGTACTGTGCTTTACGTTTTCGAACCTTGCTATGCCCTCGAGTAACTGTAATAAGGTTACTGGTGAGTGAGTGAGTGCGTTGTATTTAACGTAGCGTGCCCAAGGGACGCAACTCCGTACAACGATAGGGTTATCAAAGTGGGTCGAATCTGAAACACTGATGTGATGTTAAGCAATATGCTGGAATTCAGATTTAGTTCTTCCTTTTAAAACAAATGGGGTAAAATCAAACTGAAAATATATCAGACTCTTCTTCTAAGAACCCTAGGGGCGGTCGAGGAGCCTAGTGGTTAAAGCGTTCGCTCGTCACGCCGAAGACCCGGGTTCGATTCCCGACATGGGTACAATATGTGAAGCCCATTTCTTGTGTCCCCTGCCGTGATATTGCTGGAATATTGCTAAAAGCGGCGTAAAATCAAACTCACTCACTCACTCTAAGAACCTTCAAGGCATAGAGCTGAAACAACAAGGAAATTAACAGGGCCAAACGGAATTAGCAAATATTTCCTTGAAACTGAAAACATATGTAGAAAGCATCATCGTACATTTGAAACATTTAACAGTTATCGTTCTGAGATGTGGAAGTTAGGCACCATCACCATTCACACTGCTGCCTGTGCACAGGGAATGCCCTGCAATATGGTTCCTATGATCATTCAGAGTTGGATGGGCTTGGATGTGTGGCAATTACTACGCACTGCTTAGCATAGATGTATCTGCAGACGTATGTCGTAAGTACATTTCATGCGTGTCAACAATACACTTACCTCCCTTTGGTGGAGCTCTGTCATCTCCAGCACGACCTGAAATAGAGACGAGTAGAGTTTCTACTATTCAATAGGGTGAGGTTAAGTGAAAGTGAAGTTAAGGGGCTTTAAGGTGCACTTATATGTCGACATGCATGCGTGTGTGTGTGGCTGTTTGTACTAGTCCGGACTGATGCCGATTTATAGTGCTTGCCCACTGTGATACCATGCATGTTTAACATGTATACCCCACTCAGACACAGTATACTGACTCCGAGCCGACCAGTCCTTGTTTTAGCTCATTATTGCCGAGCGCCATACAGGGTAACAACAAGTACCATCTTTTAACGTCTTTTGGTATGACGCGGCCGGGGATCGAACCCCGGACCTTCTGCTCTCCGAGCGAACGCTCTACCACTTGACCACGGTGGCGGTCTCTATTCAATAGGGACAATGCGTTGTACATGTATCCTTAATCTTTGAATACATAACCAAAGACTGTTTACAAATGGTCATACACCGCTGTACCACCCGTCAGTGCTTGTCAAGTGACTGTTGTAGTATAAAACAAATCAAAGATAAAAAAGTCCATAATCGAGTACAAAACACATGGAAGCCAGCTTCATGAAACATGATTGTGTCGAGGTGAGGTGAGGTGAGGTGAGGTGAAATGGGGTTTAACGTCGCGTCCAAGATTATTGCACTTATATAGCGACGTGCATGTACGTGTGTGTGTTTGTGTGGCTGCTTGTACTAGTCCGGACTGATGCCGATTTATAGTGCTAGCTCACTGAGATACCATGCCGCAGTTTAACATGAATACCCCACTCAGACACAGTATACTGACTCCGAGCCGACCAGTCCTTGTTTTATCCCCTTAATGCCGAGCGCCAGGCAGGATAACAACAAGTACCATCTTTTAACGTCTTTTGGTATGACGCGGCCGGGGATCGAACCCCGGACCTTCCGCTCTCCGGGCGGACGCTCTACTACTAGACCACGGAGGCGGTCTGATTGTGTCGAAAACGCAATGCTGGATTATGATATTGCCTCTAGGTTACACTTGACCTTTTAAATAAAAAAAATCGATAAAATGAATCAAAGTACTCAAAACAGTTTAGAAACAGTCGAGGTACTGTGTCCGTCATGAACTGAGCTTACCTCCGTACATACCACCTGTATGGCGTGATATACATATAATACAACAACTTCTGAATAAGTTTGTAAAAGTATATGATTTACAGAAACATGCCAGAGAGATACAACAAATACACATACACTGATACAGTAAGCCGAGGTGATACTGATTCAAGCCACAATCGCATGCCATCGCTTCAAACAACTGATATGATACCCGGTCCGTATTACCGCGTATGCTGTCCTCCCAGATATAGGAGAACCGGCATATTCATGCCGACAGATTGTAACGGCTTATCCACGCATACCGCATATTGTAACGGCATATCCACGCATCCGATTGATGGTAACGGCATGTCCACCCATATGAAAGACTGTAACGGCATATCCACGCATATGACAGACTGTAACGGCATATCCACGCATATGACAGATTGTAACGGCATATCCACGCATATGACAGATTGTAACGGCATGTTCACGCATATGACAGACTGTAACGGCATATCCACGCATATGACAGATTGTAACGGCATATCCACGCATCCGACAGACTGTAACGGCATATCCACGCATATGACAGACTGTAACGGCATATCAACGCATATGACAGATGGTAACGGCATATCCACGCATCCGACAGATGATAACTTATTCCGCGAAGAACTGCCAACAACTGGACATCCCCACGGTTTTACATTCATTCAACCGCGTCAAGGTAGTACACACTGGCCAGTACCTTCAGTATTTCAGATTCAAATAGATACACGTATATCTACATCAGTGCCATTCCGGCAGTGTGAACAAAGTGATGCATTTCGCCGGTTTAGGCGTGCACATGACAAAAACCTTCCAATGGTCAACTTTCCCTTTTCAAACAATATTCCTGCAGCTCCAGCCCTTGGTGTCTATATTTCACAACTTTTGAGGTACAATAGGACATGCCCTTTCTACCAAGATTTCAAAGAGCATCATACAATTCTTGCTCAGAAGATGTTTGATCAGGATTACAACATCCATGGCCTCAGTAAGTTTTATGGAAGACATGTGGAGGACATGTCCAAATGACGCCCGATGGAATTCACTATTTTGACTTGTACCATATGTTCCCGTGTTTTTGCAGGTGAACAATTGACTTGCCTTTTCGTGTGTTTGTGACGGTGCCACCGGTGGGCAGGATACGCTCATCTTTTCGCGAGCACCTGGAATCACTACTAGTTGATAGTGATTAACTTAACACATGCTCATGATAAAGTCAGAATTGTACAATGGCCTCTGCTTTTAGCAGATATTTCTTATGATTATGGAATGAATATTGTTGCTTTAATTGTACGTGTTTTCTAGTCATACACACACTTCATTTTTCTGAATGTCTCAATATTTCGAAGTGACAGTTAACAATCTAGACACAGAAAAACTATGAACGTGCGTGCCCTTTATAAATGGATATATCGGCGGTTCTACGCAGTACACCTTCATGATGCAATGATACTGATATTGTCATGCGCTGAAAGAAGACAAAGCAATAGAAGCAGTGATACTATGTCTATGAGGTATACGTAGATGTAGTGGTAGTTAAATATTGCCTAGAAACGATAGAAGAACCAGTAGCAATTTCAGGTCGAGGTTGCAGAACCGCTGGTAGTACGTTTCTTTGTTTATTATTTAACTCCACACTCAAAACTATTCCAGATATATTTTGGCGGGCAGTAGATAATCCAGTCTTAACCAGTGATTAACATAACGAGCCTGATCAGCCGTTTAGTCGCGTGTTGAGGCCAATATATGTAACTGGGGTCGAACGCCCTAGTAGACGAGGTCGTCGGAATGATTGTTTCCTGGCCGCCATTGGAGGAGGTGCTATGTAGGTATAAAGCGTCAACGCCGGAAAATAATCAGTCTCGATTTTCTGCCGAAACAGATTCCATTGAACTTAAAAGGAAAAGTAGTGATGAAAAAATGAAATGGAATAAACATTTAAATAAAAAACGTCAACACCAGAGAACAACCATCTGGATTATCCGAGGAAACAGCTTCTGTTGGACGTAAAAGACAAAATAGCGGTGAAACAAATTGAATGATCACTGAAAATCCCTGATAACACAAGGTGTTCGCGAAAAGGGTAAGCCTGTCTTTTGTTGCCTGACAGCGTGCAGTAGTACTCCTGTCACGTGACCACGAATGGAAAGAACAGGGCTAGCGCCAGCCTGATTCTGCTTGATTCCGAGACAAATAGGTTGTTGGTTGGTTGGTTGGTTGGTTGGTTGGTTTGTTGTTTAACGCCGCACTCAGCAATATTCCAGCTATATGACGACGGTCTGTAAAATGGACCAGACAATCCAGTGATTAATGTCATGAGCATCGATCCACGCAATTGGGATCGATGACATGCATCAACCAAGTCAGCGAGCCGGACCACCCGATCCCGTTAGTCGCCTTTTACGACAAGTATGGGTTGCTGAAGACCCATTCTACCCCGGAACCTTCACGGGTCGGTTGTAGTGGGATGGGAGTATAGCTGGGGGTCTGCTACTGATGGAATATTCGTTGAAGGGACATTATGTCGTCAATATACTGATGCGTAGGACTGTAGAGGTAGTCGCTGTAGTATTTGAGTGAGTGTGTTTGGTTTAACGCCGCTTTTAACAGTATAATAGTGATATCGGGGCGTGTCAGCCTAATGTGGGAGGAAAGCCCGAAGTGATGCAGGTTTTACCACTTCGGTGAAACCCACGAGCAGGGGAATGGTGGTGACAAACCTAGAAACATAATCGGAGCGAACCGGGATTCGAACCCACAATCATAGGTTTCTGGCGTGCCCAAGGGACGCAACTCTCCGCAGAGAATCGTGGCGCCTTAGACGACTGGGTCAATCGTGCCCCCTGTGAAATTTTGAAGAGATCGTAGTTGAAGAGGCGGCAGTAGTAGATGTAGATATTGTATTGTTATTATGATTAGTAGTAGCTGTGGTAGTGGTGGTGGTGGTAGTAGTAGCAGTAGTAGTAGTAGTAGTAGTAGCAGTAGTAGTAGTAGCAGTAGCGATCAATTTGGAATGTACCTACATGGTGGCCCCGAGTCCATCGCCTGTACTTCACTTGACCAGTCAGCCATCTTACTTTCACTCAATCCCATGGTTCTCCTATTCTCAAGTTTTCTCGTGGAGAGAATACAGTCTATAATATATCATATATAAGTATATACAATATGAACTATAAAAAGTAACTTGAAACTTATTTCGTGGCATTTTATTGGTTAGCCAAGCAATTTGATTTGACAGAATTGTTTAGGCCACGCCCACGAACGCACTACTGTTTACTGATTGGCTGATACTAGAAAGGGCGGGACTTGAGTTGCATTATAACTGATACAGTTTTCTGGTTCAATGATTAATTTGCAGTCTGTGAAGTTATTAATGCCTCCACAAACGCAAAACTTATTGAAGCCAATTCTCAAATATCAAACCGAAGACATATTAAACGTCTAAAATAACAATATAATAACTCGTTTCCATTTGAAAGTTAACCTTATTTACTCGATAGTATTACTAACATTTACACTAAAATCGGTCACCAACTTATGGCAACAGTTTTGTAGAGTTTCGTTACAGTCAGTATGATCGCCACCTGTTTCATGCTGAAGGAACATGTCAATATGATTGTACGGAAATGTCTAGGGTGATATCATTGGAACCTGTGGTGGCGAACTGTACCAGGTATTTTTATGACAGAAAGGAAATATATTTCACTGGAACATCCAGTAGAAAACCGGGCGGTCGAGTAGCCAAGTGGTCGAAGCGTTCGCTCGTCACGCCGAACACTCGGGTTTGATTCCCGACATGGGTACAATGTGTGAAGCCCATTTCTGGTGATATTGCTGGAATATTGCTTAAAGGGGCGTAAAACCATACTCACTCACTCACTCACCCCAGTTGAAAAGCACCTACATTGGCAGGGTCTTGTATAAGTACATGAAGGCATGAATGAGTGAAAAGTAATAACCACATTGGCAGTATTTCAGCTATATTGTGACTTGAACATGTGATATAATTTATAGTCAGGGTGGTAACTTTCAACATCATTAGTAATACTATTTGTTTGTTTGTAGTTTCACGCTACACTCAGCAATATTCCAGCTATATGACGGCGGTATGTAAATCATCGAGTCTGGGCCAGACAATCCAGTGATTGACATCATGAGCATCGATCCACTCAATTGGGATCGATGACATGCATCAACCAAGTCAGCGAGCCTGACCACCCGATCCCGTTAGTCGCCTCTTACGACAAGCATAGTCGCCTTTTGGGGCAAGCATGGGTTGCTGAAGACCTCTTCTACCCCGGACCTTCACTGGTCAACAACGGATAGTAATAAGGCCACTCACCCACCGAGGCTTCCGCGAAAATGAATGTCCGACAACTGGTAGTCTAGATCACGTACTTTGAGTACGAGAATCTGTACTTTACTAAGAAAGTGTTATCCCAAATATAGCATCTGCTACATTTGACCACTTTCTTAATGGCATTGTGTTTCGGAAGCCTCGGTGGGTGAGTGGGTTAGATCGCTGACTTTGTGTGCTGGCGATTAGGTGCCTCACTCTGGCAAGTGTGGGTTCGAATCCCGGACGGGACTCAACCCCCCAAAAAGACGAGAATCTGTACTTTACTAAGAAAGTGTTATCCCAAATATAGCATCTGTTACGACAGATAAAGAGATGAAGAGATGAAGGGAGAAAGAGAATGCCACTAATGAAACTGCTTGGCACTACTCCAAAACCTAGTTTCAACCAACTGTTCCCAGAGAAATTCTGAAAAAAATTATTGACGGGTCCGTTCGTATTCTTAAATCCAACATGCAGCTCGTGTACGTCGATCAATGAGCAATGAAAGTTCATAATCTTATGTTGTAAGACTAGCCTTCAAGGGAATGAAATCAAAACCATCCAGCGAATTAATTTGTTTGTTTGTTGTTTAACGCCACACTGATCAATATTCCAACTGTATGACATCGTATGAAAATAATCGAGTCTGTAAATCCAATAAGCATCGATCTAAGCAGCTTGGGATCGATGACATGCGTTAAGAAAGACCAGCGAGCGTAATGATAAACACACGATGCCGTTAGAGGCATGGGTTGCAGGAGACCAATTCCATCTCTCATCTTGTCGGGCGCCCGAGTGAATGAAATCAGAGAATATTGTCATCGTACATTATATACGAAATCTACGGCTCCTATGATATAACCAATGTCTCCCTCAGTGTTAAGCAGTTGTAACACTTCCTACAGATAGTGATGTGGTACTTACGTTTGTAGAGACTGATTGCTGTTCTTCCCCGTGTGTTAGGCAACTGCGTAGTTTCCGAGCCTTGCAGCACTCTCGCGTTTCAAGTTGTCTAACCGAGATTTCAGACGATTTCAACCAAGGATAACGAAGACTGGGGAATCCTCAAGCGGAATGGGAACGCAAGCAGGTCTAATGCACAAGCCTGAAACGCACTAACGGTGTTGAGGGATAAATGTTCTTCTCTGCACAGCAACCAACCTGTAAAACTCAAAGGTTAGGTCGCCATGACACGTTGTCTTTGGGCGGCGCAACTGAAAGTTGGTACTTATGTCGTTTTTGCACCTTATTCTTCATTTGTAACAACGTATTAAATATTGACAGACCTTCGGTTGCAGTTATATTAGAAATCACTGAAGAGTGGACATTTACAGATATCACTGTGCTGAATCTGGCATCAGTGGTTAACCCCTACATATACAGGTCTATATCATAAATGAAAATGTCTGACATAACGTTGATTAAAGTTGATGTGAATAAAATGAATTATTAATTATTACAGTTTGCGGTATTGTACACCAAGTGCACTCAAAAGAACACACTGGGTGGAAACACGAATACGTACATACACCCGAAACACAAGTCAAAACTTGTGGTGTCACCCTGGGCACGAGACATAGTTCAAATGTGCCTCCACATCCAGCAGGGAAAGGGTACCCGATATGTCAGGCAGCTTGGGTTGTATACTCCCAAGGGAGGTAAGAATGACAACATGAATGCAAACGGGTCCACTGATCGGGGAACAAATAAACCGCATTCCACAATTTTCGTAAAGCGCCAAGTATTTGGGACATAATCCCAATGTAGTGTTGATTTTGTAGATGGTTCTGTACTGCTGGACGGTACAGCAATGAGTGTCAACCAAGTGAAGTGCCATGTAAAATCGGCCCAGACTCAGTTTTTAAAGGAGAGGCTACCTGAACGACCACTGCATCGAGTTTATGTGCAGTGTGTTGAGAAGTTCAGCAACCCTACAGAGTTCTTCGCTTGTATGAGATCAGCTGGGCTGAAAAGTGAAACAGAAGGCTTTCTGTTTGCTGCTCAGGACCAGTCACTTCCCACTCGAAACCGTCAATGTGTGATTTTGCATCAAAATGTTGATATGAAATGTAGATTATGGAGTGAATTTAATGAGACTGTCCAACACATTGTCAGTAGATGCCCAGCTATGACACAAACACAGTATCTTAAGCGACATGATGGTGTAGCTCGACCCTTTTATTACCGTCTTCGCCATGCTTGTGGTTTTGACACAGAGGTCCACCCATGGTACGATTCAGTATATGTAGACGGCGTCATGGAAAATGATAAAAACAACATTCTTTGGAATAGGCCCGTTTACCGCCTCAGGCAACAAACCTGATCTTGTCCTTTTTGATAAATCCAATGAAATCATTTATATCATTGACATTTCTGTCCCTTTTGACACTAATGTGATTGACAAGAATATGCGGACCTCGCTTTCGAAATGTCACGCTTGCATCCCAAGTACCAAGTGTCCGACTCCCCATTGTTCTCGGTGTCTTAGGTTTGGTATCTCCCAATCTGTTGACTGACATTGGGAGAGTACCCGGGTTTGCTACCAGGAATACAGCCCTTCTGACAATCTGGGTAATGTAGAAGGCTGCAGTGTTGGGGAGTCTTTACATTCTCCGAAAGGTTCTGGATGGGTTTGACAAGCTAGACAGCGCATCCAGAGAGTCCCATTCGCTGTCTGGACTGCGCGTAGAGGGGACAAGGGCCCCGAGATGAGCCTAACCAGCCTGACTGTGCCAGGATCACCCAAACCCTTTTGGCTGCATTTTTTTATTTTAATCTGAATAATAATAATAATAATAATAATAATAATAATAATATGGGGAGTCGAGTGCATTAATGGAGGTCGTAGCGTGGAATATATGCGAATACAGTGTTTGCACGATTTAAATGCTTTGTCGACTTACAGCTGGAGTGACTGAGGTTTGGTTAGGTGATTCGAACCCACGACATCAACTCTGGCACGTGCAAGGGACACAACTCAATCTGCTTAGCATATTGCTGTCGCCTCAGACAACTCGGTAGAAGTCAGCTCAGCGATTGAGAATTGTATTTGTGTTTCTGTCGTTGGCTTTCCCTGCTTTGTGGGAGGTAGGCAAAAGTTTCTTTGGGAGTCCTATAAATAATAGAGTTACTGAACCTTTGTCCTTGAGCAAGTGCATCTAGAACGCGATGTGGTAGGTGAGGTGAATCGAGGTGAAATGGGGTTTGACGTCGTACTTACATATAATGCACTTATATATAATGATGTGCATGCACGTGTGTGTGTGTATGTGTGTGTGTGTGTGTGTGTGTGGCTGCTTGTACTAGTCCGTACTGATGCCGATTTATAGTGCGAGACCACTGAGATACCATGCCGCAGTTTAACATGAATACCCCACTCAGACACAGTATTCCGACTCCGATCTGTGTCCTTGTTTTAGCCCTTAATGCCGAGCGCCAGACAGGGTAACAACAAGTACCATCGTTTAACGTCTTTTGGTATGACCTGACCGGGCATCGAACCCCCGACTATCGATCCGCTCTCGGGGCGGACTCCCCTCACGGAGGTGGTTGACACAGTTACTAGGGCTATGTGCCAAGTAGGAATATCAGTTCCACAGACTTGTGGCTGGTGTATGTAAGTCTGAAAACTCACATCTCTGGCAAGGTGAGGTGAGGTGAAATGGGGTTTAACGTCGCGTCCAAGATTATTGCACTTATATAGCGACGTGCATGCACGTGTATGTATGTGTGTGGCTGCTTGTACTAGTCCGGACTGATGCCAATTTATAGTGCTCGCCCACTGAGATACCATGCCGCAGTTAAACATGAATACCACACTCAGACAGAGTATACTGACTCCGAACTTTGTCCTTGTTTTAGCCCTAAATCCCGAGCGCCAGACAGGGTAACGCGACCGGGCATCGAACCCCCGACTATCTATCCGCTCTCGGGGCGGACGCTCTACCATTAGGCGGTAAGACATAGTTACTAGGGTTATGTGACAAGTAGGAATATCAGTTTCGCAGACTGGTGGCTGGTGTATGTAAAACTGCAAACTCACATCTCTAGCAAGGCACGACGCTGGTACACACATGTTCAGGAAACGAACAAAGAGCAATTAAACTATCTGAAAGCCCACTTCCCTTCTTATCTCTTTGTGCAAATATAAGATATCATAAACCAGTCAGACAAAGACACTTTGTAATCAAGGGACGGCTTCTTCCGCCAAGGGAGCAGCGAACGTCATTTTAGTAAAACTTTAGAAACAAAACAATTGGGAATTTTACATAAAGTTGTTGTCCATTATATTAAACATGCGCTTTCAATCACCGTTTCTAAAAGAAATCTTGTAATAACTCATGAAGCAACAGATTATGATCACGAAATATATATATTAATGTTTTCATTAAAAACGTTCTATTTGTGCACAAAGCTGTCTGTCTTAAAGTTCTTATCCCCCACAGTGATGTTATACTGTTAGAAAGTTACGCCCAATGAAAACACAAAATAAAGGCACACTGAAGTACTCATCATAGAGTATGTCATACCGAATTGGACTGCGACACGATATGGTGACTTTTTGATGACGCTGTCGTATTCGATACCTGAAAGATATCCATCTGTATCGTTTCGAGGTTATGGAAACCAAAGGTGCTCTCAGAAATCGGTATCTTCAGTAAATTGTGAAATCAGTAAATGTCCGCACAAGATCAATGCATAATCAATATACCATATTGAAACAGTTGTAGCTTCATAACTAAAAAAATACCATGAGTAAATTAAGTGGCAGTAGCAAAACGTCACCTGCCCTAGTATCACCGAAAGCGCATTCACGTCGGTCTCAGTGCTCGACACCAGAATAGTGTTTATAACTGGTTGGAATTCCTTAACACAAATAGGTATCCAATCCGCAATTGGCAAGTACATTAGCAACAAGTCAGATGACGTCGAAAAAGGCCTCGAATCTTCCGCTCGTCGTTCTTACATAGAAACCATCCTTCTAGACACTGTTCCATTTAGAAACTTCTTCTCGAAGTCTGGCCACAGTCGTACTCGTAGTCACTAGCATTTTAATCATTTGCTGTCACTGACAATAACTATTGATGCCTGTTTTAAATGTGTTTAATATCAACTGAGATCTCAGGGATTAATGTGGAGTAAAACCATAGCCCCGGGTGTGACAAGCAGTTTTTTTACAAACTCATACATTGGCCTCGTCGACGAATTCACATAAGAACATTGCTCACATGTAAAGACATGTGGAGATATATCTATGCAGTATTTAATTCCAAGGATTTACCATTTCAAGTTCTAAATTGGTTGACACTATTTGATTAATTTAAGAAGATACACGGGATCTACCGCGCTATGTTACTTGTGAAGAATAAAAATAAAGAGTCAACGCCAGAGAATAATCAGACTCGATTATCGGGCGAAACAGATTTCATTGTGAGTAAACGGCAAAGTCGTAGTGAAAATCATGTGAATGAATCACTGAAAAATCAATGATAGCACCATTGATGAACACATGTATGGAAAAGACAATGATGAAGTAAAATTAGTAGCTCCAGTTCTCTTCTATCACAAATCAGTAGAAATGGTCGGTTTGTGGAACTGATGTGGTTTTAAAAGGAGCACACGTTCCTCGACCAGTGCACAGATGTCTTTAGTTTTTAAACCCAAAGAAACATCCAGATCCAGCAGTGGGGGATGACCACACCCTGGCTGTCGTTGAGGGGAAAATCGAGTAAACTATCAGTACTAAGTTCTCTTTAATACTTTAAATAGCCAATCACATAAACTGATCAGTTATATCTTTAAAAAGAGATGTTTCATTGTTCGGAGGCTGTTACCTTGTCCGTTAAACAGCAGAAGCCTCATTTGAAATCCGGAGTTCAAAGTGCAATAGATTAAGAAATCTATACACAAACATTACTATAATTACAACCCAAAACATGAAAACACAAGTTCATTACAGTTGAGTTTGTTTCCAGCTGTTCGCTATCAATGCATCCAACTGAAAAAAAACCATTATAAATTTAGAACGAATTGCATTTTAACACTCAAACGTTTAAAGTTTAGCTCTGACTCAGAAGTGATGGACGTTCGGGACATGGTACCCGGATGTGTAATGGAGTCACCACTTTCAAAGACACACAACAAACAACAGTGTGTGATTAATC